AGTCTCCATGGTTTCTGCGTTCAGACATCAGCGACGTTCAACTGACGGCTCGCGTATTATTCTGCGCTCGGAGATAGAAGACGGTTGCCATGTGCGGAATATTCCGCTTACGGATGCAAATGGTTAACACGGTTAGTGCCACTCAGCCACATCGTTGACTGACACTGAACTTCCCGTTCAGACGTCAGCCACCGGTCACTGACACTACACATCTAAGTAGCGCATGTGGCCTGACGGAGATTTCCTTATAAATTCGCATGGCACTCAACGTGTTAAGAACAAGGTTTAAGCGGAATAAACTAACTTGATTGTTTACCGCTATTTCAACGCTACATGCTGGTAACGTACGCACTGGCAACGAATTTCAGAACGTAGCCTTACATTGACTTACAAGGGGAGGGCGCGACGTTGATCACACGGATTTCGGAGTCCTTTTGGGGTAGGAAAATACTTTGTAGTAACAATCTACAGGCCAATCGGTAGGACCCAACGCGGAGCCGTTTTCGAAAAAAACCGGTTTGAAAATCGCAGTACTATTCATATACCTGCACCGTTGCTAACATTTTCGAGAAGGCGGCGTAGCTCGCTGACAGCGCGCCTGACTACCACCCGAGCGGCCAGAGTTCGATTCCCGATCACAAATAGGTTTTTTTTTGCTACCCGACAGCCCATGTTTATCTATCAACAATTTTGTCAATTTACGTACGAAATGAGTGGAGTGTAACACTTATTTTTTATTATGAAACACTGATTTATTACAAAATGTTATAAAGATTCACAGGGTATTTTGGTTTATAATTATTGTTTATTAGTCGCTATCACTGTTGTTTTCTGTACAGCCGTTGCATCTATTCGGATGGTAGTTATCATAAAAGCATGAAAAACATAAATTCTTTTCACACCACGCACATTTTATGAATGCAACGTTGTCGCACTTACAATGTTTTTTCGAAAGCGACAGAGGAAAACATATTTCGTTTACATTTAAAAATATAACTCTTTCTCAATCAATTTGGCGGCAAAAAAATATATTCGTGGTCGAGAATAGAACCCTGGCCACTCGGGTGGTAGTCAGGTGCGCTGCCACCGGGCTACACCGCCTTCTTGAAAAAATTAGCAACGGTGCAGGTATATAAATTGCTGTGTTTTTCAAACCGGTTTCTTTCGAAAACGACTCCGCGTTGGGTCCTGTCGATTGGCCTGTAGATTGTTACTACAAAGTACTTTCCTACCCCAAAAAGACTCCGAAATCCGTGTGACCAACGTCGCGCCTTCCCCTTGTTAGTTTTCACCGTGCAGAGTTTAAACAAAGTTAAACAGCCTCATTGGTCATTTTCGATCCAACTCCTATACGTGATTGGTTAACTCTCTTTAACACGTTCATGCCGGCGTGTACCACCGGTGACTAAGGGCTAGTTCAAAATACTATATGTAAAAAATACTATATGTATATACATACTATATACATATAAAAAATGCATCGGCCTGAGCGTGTTAAACTCTGCACGCTGGAAACTAAGCCTATTATATGTATTTGCTCCCATGGTGCAGTTTTGTTGGACACCAACATTAGCTTAATTTACACCGTGCAGAGTATAAACAGGGATAAGCAGCCTCATTAGTCAATTCCATTCAACTCCTATGCGTGATTGGTTAACTCGGTTTGAACTCTGCACTCTGAAAACTAAGCCATTGGCTTGTTTAAACGGAATTAAGCAGCCTCATTAGTCATTTTCCATCCAACTCCTATACGTAATTGGTTAACTCTCTTTAACACGTTCACGCCGGCGTGTACCACCGGTGGCTCAGGGCTAGTTTAAAATACTATATGTAAAAAATGCGCTGGCGTAAACGTGTTAAACTCTGCACGCTGGAAACTAAGCCTATTATATGTATTTACTCCCATGGTGCAGTTTTGTTGGACACAAACATTGGCTTACTTTCCACCGTATAGAGTTTAAACAAAATTAAGCAGCCTCATTGGTCATTTTCCATCTGACTCCCCGCAGATTGTATAGCATGTATAGCATACTTCTGCCACAATCGGGACGTGCTATTAAGGCAGGGTGCTGCTGAGGTTCCTCCCCCACCCCGGATTAAAATTGTAGGTTATATACAGGGTGTTCGTTATGAAACGCTCTGTAGTAACATCGTTGCCATCCTTGTCAAATTCTAAAGAATACGTGTATTTTCATTTTTTATTTCATATATCAAAATTTCGAGATAATCAAGGTTGAAGTTGCAGTAATCCGACCAATCAGAACGTGTTTAAACGGAGCGTAGATGACGTCCAGAGACAGCCCGCAAGGCCTGCTTACAGTAGGCCAATAACACAAAGAGTATCGTCTTTTGTATCTTACTCAATTACATGCAGATAAACAGGGAGACTACGACGATACTCTTAGTGTTATTGGCCTAGTGTAAGCAGGCCTTGCGGGCTGGCTCGCGACGTCATCTACGCTCCGTTTAAACGCGTTCTGATTGGTCGCATTACTGTAAGAATCCGTAATTCGTTTGGTCCTGCGTTCAGTAGTTTTTCTACAAATTTAGTTTTACTTCTGCCAATCCGAGGACAGCTTTGAGCGAGGTATCGCGACGCCGCCAACAATGGAAGACTTTACAAGACTTCACTATAATCGGCTGAGTTTACTTGGTATATGTGGCAACGATAAACAAATTTAAGGATCCATTTGATTGTCTGCCGCACATAGCATTTGTTTCTCGACGGCATCGATGAAGTTAAAGCCAGCCAGGGATGCCCACTAGATACTACACCAAGCAAAGCAGCAGAGAATGGGATTGGAGTAAAACAAATGCTACCGACGTTCCGTGGACGAAACACATAAGCTGGACACCGGATCTTACAATACGTCAGATTGAAAAAAAATAGACTAGGAGAGAAATGCAAAAACACGTAACGCCTTATTTTTCTCAGAGAATATTCACACCAATTTGCATTCTCTGGGCAAACTAAGGCGTTACGTATTTTTGCATTTCTATCCAAGTCCAAATTTTCAATTTGATGTATTTCTTACAAAATTCGGAATCGACAGGTGCTCTCTAACTTTTGCACCGGAAGTTGCAAAAAGCTGCAAATTGGTGTGAATATTCTCTGAGCAAAATAAGGCGTTACGTGTTTTTGCATTTCTCTCCTAGTCTATTTTTTTCAATCTGACGTATTGTAAGATCCGGTGTCCAGCTTATGTGTTTCGTCCATGTAACGTCGGTAGCATTTGTTTTACTCCAATGCCATTCTCTGCTGCTTTGCTTGGTGTAGTATCTAGTGGGCATCCCTAGCTGGCTTTAACTTCATCGATGCCGTCGAGAAACAAATGCTATGTGCGGCAGACAATCAAATGGATCCTTAAATTTGTTTATCGTTGCCACATATACCAAGTAAACTCAGCCGATTATAGTGAAGTCTTGTAAAGTCTTCCATTGTTGGCGGCGTCGCGATACCTCGCTCAAAGCTGTCCTCGGATTGGCAGAAGTAAAACTAAATTTGTAGAAAAACTACTGAACGCAGGACCAAACGAATTACGGATTCTTACTCAGGGGGCCACCCTGAATCAGTATTGACTTACCGTGTATGGCAATTACGAAGCACCCTTATATTGTATTTGGGTTATTCCACGTCAGATTTAAAACCAAATTTTTGATTTTCCTGAAAATTGTTTCCCTTGTTCTTGAGAAGAAAAAAATGACATGTATTTTTTTATTTCAATATGATATGAAGAATTTTTGAAATATCGATTTTTTAATTTATCGACTCCAAAAAACCGCTTCTTCTTTAAATGTATCGTGCATCGTCCACTTTTCGACTAAAAGCAAAGCACTGCAGGGCAAAATGTGCAATAGGGTTCACTTTAAAGTCCACGTTTTAATAGCCGAAAATTCGGTCGATTAATAATTTTTATGCAACAATTTCTTAAGCAATTTATATTATTTCAAAAAGGGCATCTTCAAATTGAATAATTTTTCTGTAATTTGTTGTTATAGTACAGAGAATATTGTCTGAAAATTTGAAAGTGGACCGTTGAATATTTTTTAAAATCAAATTCATAATATGTGACTGCGCTCACGATTCGCGCGCGGAAGGCGCGGGCGAAGCACGGATTCAAGTGTGCTTCGACATTTTCGAGTTATCCCGCTATCCTTTTATGAGTTGTTCACCTACTTCAGATGAATGATACTCAGTGAAATGTTAATAGGTTCCAGAATAACACTCTCAAATCAAGAAATGGTCATTTACTGTAATTACAATACTGATTACATTTAACTACATATTGTAGAGCGATCAAAGTCTTGTTTATGGTCATATATTGTTGAAAAGTGCACTTACAAAACATTAGTGATAATATATGATTGTAAGAAACATGACTCAGTGGCAGTGTTTGTTTTTCTTAAAGCATTTAACGATTATCTCTTAAACTTTCGACCATTTTCGACCATTACGTGAACTTCAAAGTGAACCCTATTGCACATTTTCTCCTGCAGTGCTTTGCTTTTAGTCGAAAAGTGGTCAATTAGAATTTGGTGAAACAATACGTGAAGCTGCGCTCAGGTGAACATATACATATAAGTAAAGATAAACAAACTGATGAATGCCCCTAAAATAGGGATATAGCTGATTAAAGGAAGGACGGATAATACAGATCATTTGATTTCACCGATGCTTCCTCGACACAAGAAACATTGTATTTCCAACTTTCTCTAAAAGCTGTATTTGCTACTCTGCCATTGGTCAATGTAATTGTGTGAATATTAAAGGCTCTTACACAAAATGTAATTTACTTCTTGAAATTCGTGTTGTTTCATCAGTCACTTAATTGATTAGAATTATTTATAAATTGAGTGGTACTTTAAAGGATATAATAGGTCATGATTACGCTGTATCATCATTATATCGTATCCAACGGGGCAATGGCTTCTTCTTAATGATAACGTAACGCAAATTACATGAGCAATGAAACCGATCAACCATAAGTTAAATGAAAGAATTCAGCGTCCAATCCGTTTTTATTTTCTACGAAATACAAAGAATGATAATTAACACTTTTGACGTTATCTGTACAATTATTGTTTAATCAGACAATTTGAGACTTTCAATTTTTATTTAACTCAACAACAACAATATCACAAATACATCCAACAACAATGACTATATCCACTATATATTGTTGAAATCCGGAAATCAATATTTCGATACGATTAACAAATATTCGTATTCGATGAAAAATTTAATATTAACTGTCATTAACATCTACGGTATCAAAACATTAATGACTATAAGAATTTATCTGCTTATCATTATTAAGCAACATTAATTAAGTGTTATGACTATCTTAGGGCTAAGCCACCACACAATAAGATCATATACTATGTATGTACAGTACTCGTTTTTACCAGTACTTTACATACTTTCTTTCATTTACAGTTTATTTGATCTCTTCTCAGTTTTGCGAACAATGCAATGTAATTGGACCGAAATAATAGACAAATTTCCGAATGTCAATAGACAAATTTTCAAATGAATGATTAATTCATTTGAAATAACTATATTATACATATACGATATACGTCCTATGCCTATTCTAGTATGTATATATGTACATGTATCATTTTGAAGTATTTCGAATAAATGTTAGTGAAAGGCAATTAATAAGTTAGCAATGAGAAAACGTAGCCTTAATATTAATTTATTAGGGAGGAAAATTTTTGTAAAAAAAAAAATAACGAAAACAACCTTTTGCAAAAGTGAACGCCAAAGTAAATTCTTAAACTAATTATTGACGTTATATCTGAAAAAGTATGAGTACCTACATGCTAATAATAAGTCACTAATTCCAATATGATCGAGGGAAAATTTATATGACTTTTTTTTTGCCCAACAGAGAACTAGAAGAAGAATGCGGACTGATAGCAAAAAATCTTACTTATAATGGGCTCCTAAAATATCAAACTGTCGGCGATCCATCAGTGGTGAAAGTCTACGTGTACGTGACCAGCGAGTATACTGGTTAAATACAGGAATCCGACGGTAATAACAATTACTAAGAAAAATTAATCACTAACACTAAAATGCCATTGATATAAATAATTAGAATCGTTAAAGAGTATTACGTGAGTATCACAATTTTCAAAATAGTTCAACGTGGACGCAAAGTCACTTAGATGCTTTAACATCTATCTATTAATACTCGTATGCAGTGAATAAAATTCCAAATTTAATTCTATCGTTCTTGATTTAATTTTCTAGAAATGCAGCCGGAACGGTATGACATCAATAACATACCCTTTGTCAATATGCTACCAGACGATCCATACTGGTTCCCGTATATGTTACGTGGTGAACAATTTGAGGGCTACTTTCTGATTGACAAAGATTATAATGTTATTGAATATTCGCTGACTCCACTGGAAAAAGCCCTGGACAAAACTATTGTGTGACATATATGTAATTTGGATATAGACTACTTTAATGTATAAATATAAGTTTTAATCCAGGATGTATGTGTAAATTTGAAATCTAAGAATTCTTCCTGTCCTCTAATCTAATACTTATACGTAGTAATTATTAAAAAATTATAAGTTTAATTGATTTAAAGAGATCAATAGTTGCACAATGTTTAAGAGCAGCATCAGTATTCCAGAGAATTGAATGTCAGGCTCTGTGTAAAACGTCTTAAAATTATCTTATCTGTGTATGATAAACAGTACAACATAATGTATAATATAATCCACTATAAGATATCTTCCAGTGTTACTTTTTCATTGCAATAACTTGTTATTCCTATTGTTTACGAAATTGGTTCAGAAATTTACGGCTTATTTATGTATTGTCTGTCTCCTTTTTCTTGTAGGACTCACGTATATATGCCATTGTCATTGGTGGTCAAATTTATTAACAAGAACCAAATTAGCTATGCGAAAGCGCAACAGTGCGAGAGATCTTACTGTACATTATTTAAAAAATAGGATATGACTACCTAAACACTAGGAAAGTCAGTCTAAGTAAAGTAACAAACATTAGGCAATCTGGGCGCAATACTAAATCCTGATCCAAGTGATGAGTTATGATAAATGATAAATAATAAAATAGAGCATTCTCACGGATGTACATTATGTGATCCGATACTTGGTGTTCTACACGGCAAGAAAAGACAAAGGAGTAAAAAAAATAAAACTTTCTAAAGCAGCAGCAGTACCTCAGTCGTAAGCATGATGAACTTTTTTTTCAACTCTAGAGAGAAACAATTTCGCTCTACTAATCCTAATAAATATACCTATTCATATTTAAAATTAGAAATTTGCGAATTTTTATACGAATTAAATCTAATGAGTAATCTCAATTGATGGACGAATATAAAGTATTCATTGTCGAGTCCGTTATAATACCTCAAATGAATATACAATGAACTTCACTGATGAGTATCATATGAGGCCATCAAGGCTTGCGAGTTCGTATAGGTTTCTAATTTCCAGTCGTCCCTTTGATTATCACGTTCGTACGAGATAGGGACATCCCACTTGCAATGTCATTTGCATCTAACAGCCACTGCAAGGTCTAATCGCCAAAACAAGTTCTAACAGCTAATAGCGAAAAGCGATTTTACAAAGGAGATATTAATAAAGGTTATTGCGATAGGCGCCATGATTAACCTGCTGTGTAATTTTAGGCTGCGGACCAGTGTTCCGATCTCCAAAGTAACGTGTACATATTGTGTCTCAGATCTTCGTCTTCAAGACTGTCGATGCGGAGGTCAGTATACCTGGAGATGAGGCTTCTATAGCCCTGACCAACTGTAGCCAAGATAAGTTTCTTCTTGTCGGCAGATTTGAAGGATATAATTTGGCAGACTTTGCCCTCAAAGGGTCTGAAGACGGTAATTGGTCTGAGAGAGTTGCATTCAGCTACCACGATACATCCCCATGTAGTACCAATGTACAATTGATTCATGCAAGTCTCCAGGGCGGTGACTTGACACTTTTCCGTGGTGAGATTCTCCTCAATGGAGATCGACTTAAGACTCTCTGAACAAGGTACCAGCTTAGACATATCAAGCTTGTTGATTATTTGCCTGGTGTCTACATCCCATTGATATACGACGCAGCCAGGATACGTGTATGAGAGTACAGAATTATCAGCACTTAGTAGGTACGTGGCGAAGAGATTTTTACTGGCTGTTTCACCGGAAACGTGCATCGTGCTGGTACTGTCGACCAAGTTACCATCCTTTAAAACGTAAATGGAAATTTTTCCAAAGCTCTGACCCACCCAAAGCTCCAAGAAGCGTCTTTTCTTGTATACAGCTGCCAATGAGTAGGTTTTGATGTTTTCAATCAGGTCAATGTTTATCTCCGTCTTTTTCATTTGGGTGAAGGTGTTAGATAGAAGGTAGAGTCGACCACTGTGTAATGCCACTGCAAAATGCTTGATTTGTTCAAGATGTATCAGACCGACGACCTTTGACTCCTTATTATGATCTTTTTCCATGTGAAAGCTGCCAACGCAAGCAAAGTTGCTGCCCAGATAGACATGAATTTGACCGGTATTATCACCTATCCATATGTAACCATCAAGACCACACATTGCATATGGTATTACAGGTGTTTCGATTCGAACATGCTGAAGAAATCCTTTTTGAGTTGTCAGAAGCATATCGACCTCGCCATTATTATGTCCTAGCCAAATCTCATCGCCATTCATATTGTCTTCTAAAGGTCGGGAGGTCATAGTTATTGCTGTAACCTGTGTTCTTTCCGTGAGTAAGGTCACGTCGATCAAGTGCGTGAACTCTGGTGCTGATGCAATTGAGACTATCTGACTGGCTGTGGGTCTGTCTTTAGGATTCTGAGACCAACATATCACCATAAGATCAAGTGCGTAGCAAGGATGCAAAGTCTCTCTATAGGTCAGAGGTGGTCTGCCACCTTCTAATATACATTCCTTAACAGATTCATGACCTTCAAAAGGTTGACGAAGTGTCACCAGCTCGTAGATGAACATACCGAATGAGAAAGAATCTACTTTCTCGGTATACTCTTCCTCGCCGTTGTATTTGATGATCTCAGGAGCCATGAAGCCTTCGGTACCGCCAAAACCCTTTGCCCCAGATGGTAATGTCAGTCTGGAGATACCATAATCAGCTACTTTTACGTGGACTGGATGTTCAGGATGATCTTGGAATGGTACTGGCATTTGCCAGACCAGGACGTTCTCAGACTTGAGATCTCTGTATATGACGTGTTGCTGGTGTAAGTATTCTACGGCTTTGGCTACCTGCAGGATGATGGCCTGAAGTGTAGAAGGATCTAATTTGGCTCCACAACGTCTGTAGTTCTTGAGGGCGTTGTCCAGGGCACCTTCTGGAGCTAGGTCAAGGATCAGTGCCAGAGGACTGATAACAATACCGATAAGAGGAACTATATTGGCATGTCTTAAAGTCAAAAGGATATTCAATTCTTGCCTGGCAGTACAGTAGGCTTTGCAAGCGTACTGAAGTGGATCACGATCCCATTTACTTTGTGCAGCTTTATATGCAAGAATAGCTGATTGTCTGGAGTTGGGACCTGGTGGTACAGGTTGCAACATCTTCATGGCTACGTCGGTTCTGATATGACTACCTGGTAGACGACAAGTGCCTTTGAAGACAAATCCGAAGGCGCCACGACCAAGCATACGACCTCTCTTAACATCCTCTGGTTTTATCAAATGCCTGGCACCCAGATCCATAAATATTATATCCGGAGAAACATGAGAAAGTGGTATGTCGGAGTGTTTTGGGCATATGATACTCTTATTACTGTAGGCAGACAATATACATTCCTCAACCATCCACGAGTAGGCCAGTATACCTTCCGAATGGTAATTCGTTCTAGAAATATCTGGATGTCCTTCCAAGGATGGCATTCTGCTCGAAGTAGAGCTGTCGTAACCGACCCCACTATCGCCGTCTGACTTGTAACTATCCTGACTTTGTCTTTCACGATTTAGATAATATTTCTGGATGTCTTCAGCTACGTGTTCTTGATCATTAGAATCGGTATCAGAATCGGAATTGCTAAGTAGACATCTTGGACAAGGTATAAGTCTGGTGACTAGAAGTTTGCCTTCGGAGGTGTGAACAAAACGTGTGCCCAAAGTTGGATACCAATCTTCGAGGAGGATGTCTATGTGATCCACGATGAGAGCTAGTAGTTGAGGCATACTCTCCGGACGTGGTTCCACGACGATTGCCTGGTATCCCATTGGCTCATCCTCGTCAGCGGAGTCAGACATTATAGGCTGTTTGATAACCAGGGTGTCAACTGGGAACCAGATTTCAAGAATCGCTGAATTTTTCAAATCCACCGTACACCAGATGCCATCCTGCTTCAATTTGAATTTGAACTGCCTGTAATCGTAAGGTGAGTTCTTAAGATTATTGTTAACTTCTTTGAGACGCAAGAGGGTGATACCAGCGTAACGTAGTTCTATACCAGTCTGCCAAAGTACCCAATCAGCATGAGTGTCCAGGAGACTGGCGAAAATCCTGTCATCAACGAAGTCCTTGAAAGGCGCCAAGAAAGACATGACGATCTCGACTATGGCGTCGTCAGCAAGTATTCTGGTGATAAGTCTAGACCAGAAACCACTTGGAAAGTAGGACATCAGCAGAAGTCTACATACGGAGCAATCAGGCTGTGGTCTCGAAGTGAGGACACATTCAGAATTAGCTCGGTCGGAAGAAGTAGCACTAGGAAATGTGAACATAGGAGATGTGATCTTCTTTGAGCGTACGTGCCAACTCCTGGTCTTGACGGGAATCTTGATCGTCTGATTATTCCTCAAAATGTCTTCTTCAGTTGGTAGTAGAGATGGTATCAACAAGGTTCTATAATCCCATGTCAGGGCAACCTCAAACTTATTCAACAAACTTACAATGTATCCTTGGGTATCTATGCTGGACATGGTGGAAGACTTGAAGACATGTTGAATATCATCCAACTTCATAATTCCTGACCTGGCGAATGGATTGATTTCCCGTATAGTGACTACGTGTGCTAACATATCACAGAGCCACTGTGGATCCAGGAAGTACAAATCTTTTAAGGTAGCATCATCGTAGTGTAAAATGATTCCATTGTCATGAAGGAACAAAGTAGCTTGATGAAGTTCGGCGGGATCCCTAAAGGATCTGTGTAACTTCTGAAGTTCGTTATTCACAGCAGCATAATACTGATCAGCTTTCAAAACTGGATCTGCGCCGGAAAGTTTCCGATCGTGTGCAAGTTGTACTACCACATCCTCCAAAGCTAGATAACTAGCTGGAACACGTTGTTCCAAAAGAAGCTCCTTGCTACCTGGTGAACGTAGGCTAAAGACAACGTCATAAATAAGGTTGCACAACATCTTTATATTGTGTCTGGTCTTGCAACTAACCTCGATAGTTTCCATGACCTTCGGGAGGCCGCATTTCTCAGCGTCCACAACATTGATGAATTTGTCACGTATATATTGCTGAAGTACCTCACTCTGATCAGCCGACATGTCATAATGCGTGCCTACGATGATGACCGGTGAATTCGGCGCCCTGCTTTGAATATTCACTAACCATTGAAATATCTCAGAGACGCCCTTGAAACCATCGGTGATCCTCCAGACGACAAGATACAAACTTCTCTTAGACAAAAAATACTGATGAGTTGCATAATATTCTTTCTGGCCACCAAAATCCCAGGTTCTGAAATATACAGATCCATGAGGTGATTGACCTCGAACCTTCTTCTCATAGAGCCAGTCACCAATGTCTACTCCTACTGTCGAAATGGTTGTACCGCGTGCTGTCTTGGAGTTGATGTTCTTGTTACCCATCCTCTTCGCCCAGTGCTCGGATGCCTTTTTCTTGTTCGGCACTTCGCCTTCTTGCCGCAATTGTTCTAATAGGCTGGTCTTACCGATACCTTGAATACCCACTATCATTAATTTCATTCTAGCATATGGTTTTGCATCTTCCAACACTGACTTTAGATAGCCAATCACGTCCATAGTTTTGTACTTCTTCGAATCGATCATAGACTTCAATGGTTCCTGTAGTCTACAACCTTGAGTATTTAAGTTCCAGAGTCGAGATAGCAGCCCCATTTGCGGTGGTAGCTCCGTGATATCAGTATTTCCACTTATGTTAAGCACCGAGAGGTTGTTGAGCTCGTAGATATTCTGAGGTATATCCCGCAGCTGATTGTTGCTAACATCCAACATACTAACATTAGGGAATAATAGGTATAACTTCGAACCAGTACAAGAGATCTTGGTATCCTTGTCGATGGACTCTTCCTCAAGATTAGGCATCTCACCATCATCCACAGAAGTTAACTGAATCCTGGTTAACAAATTATTGGCGAGGACCAGCGTTCTTAGGTTCTCCAGTCTCAGGTGACGTCTATGAGTACACACTGACATAAGTACGACATCGCGTAGTGATTGAATAGTCTGTCTATTACTAGGAACTATTGGTGACTGAACATTGGTAGTAGGACAGTAGCAAGCAGTAGCAGCCTGTTCCATAGTGTCAGCACCATCATCGACCTGAGGCAAACTGGGCCAACATGAGATTTGATTGTTCGACAGGTCCAATTGTTTTAGACTAGCTGGATACGACGTGATGTGGCTCATGGACCTCAGGGAGTTATATGCCATGTTCAACCTCACTAGGCTAACCGCCAGGCACGGTAGCGATACGGGGATGCTGTTGAAAAGATTATGTGCCAAGTTGAGTGAGCTCAGGACAGACCTTGTGCCAGGTTCATTATCTTCGGACAGCTTCTCTGAGACCTCGACGGAACCGGTCCACAGGTGAGGTCGTTCCATTTCGATGACTTGGGCGTTGGCGATCTTCGTGAATGATTCGAACTCCACTGAATCATCCCTAGGCATACCAATCTGAGTTTGTGATGTTAGACTACGACTACTTGGACTGTTACTTATTGAATCCTCGCGCTGCGGCTTCCTAGTGATGTTTTGTGATACTTGACTAGGTAGATCACGTAAAAGGTTGAAGGATGCATTCAGTTCCTTTAATTTGGGTGCCCTCCACAGATTATCAGGTAGACACTGAAGCTTATTATTTGACACATCCATGATTTCTAGAGCTGGCAGGTTCATTATGAATTCGGGAAGATATTCGAGACGGTTATCCTGGAGATACATTTCTTCCAAGACAGGACATAGCTTATCTTTAGGATTTTTACTTTCTGCTACTAGACTGTCGATCTTATTCTGCGCCATATTTAAATACCTGAGACTTTGAAGAAAGAAAATCATGGACGGCACCGAGGTAATTGAATTATGGGATATGTCGATTCTAGTTATGGCATACAGAACCAGTTCGTTGTTTTTGGAGTTGAGTTTCTTATTCACATGAAGCACAGCGTCCACTAGCCACTGCGATCTGATCTGCGACAATCTACACTGTTGATCATGCCAGTTGATCATAGTCGGTGTATTAGGAAACAATGCTGAGTAAGTTACATTACCAAAGTTTGACAGTGCTGAGAAATGAGACGATGTCTGGGTACTTTCTGTCATGGCCTTTTTGTTGATTTTGTACTCAGAATCAGGATGTGCCTTGATTGACAGCAATTTGGCAGTTAGTGTTTCATCTCTATTCTGAGCAGCAATCTTCAGAGCCTTGCATTCGTTATCAATGGCTCCATGTTTCAATAAAAGATCAGCGATTTTGACATCACGATTTTGGCATGCTATTGTCAATACGGTTGAGTAGTTCACCTCAGGATCACTTTGGTCATTGGACACTTTGACAGGTAAATTGGGATTGGCACCAGCCTGCAATAAAGCTGAAACAACCTCAGTATGCCTGGCCTTGACAGCTGCATGCAATGATGTCTCAGTGTTATTAACGCAATATAAATCTAAATTCAAAGGACATACGCAATTATCATCCTTTTTTTCGAAAGATTTAGATCGAAAATTTAAGCTAGACATGAGTCTCTGTATACCACTTGATATTCGTCTTTTGGATGTTGATAAAGGTTGAGTATTAGTCACTTCATCTTCATTAATCTTTTTAGCTTTGACTTTGTGACATAGAAGTAACTCAACTATCTTCACATTTCCCAGCATGCTGCTTATGTAGAGAACACTCTGGCCAGTAAAATCCTGAGTGTTAATGTCAAAGGGCATTTCATACTCAAATTCACCACTAGGATCCTTGTAACGCTGAAGAAGATGTTGAGGATAATCAAATTTCAGAAGAATTTCTATAACTGGGACATGGCCGTTTATAGCTGCAGCATGAATTGGCAGCCACCTTTCCACAGTAACAGATTGAATCTGCTTGGGGAAATGTCGTAGGAGAAGCTCTACAATTTCCAGTTTTCCATTGTAACACGCTATGTAGAGTGGTGAGTATTTGGTGACTGGATGTATCCTGCAATCAGCACCATGGTCTAGAAGAAGTCGTACAATGTCCTTGTGGCCCATTTCACAGGCTACAAACAGCAAAGTGTTTGCACCATTTGGTGCCATGTTTATAACACATTCTAGGTCATTTGATAAATTCTGGATAACAGTTCTAGCTGCTATTGTATCACCCTGAATGCATGCCGCACGTAAAGATGCATGTGCTGCAAGCCTAGCTAGTTCATACTTCTCTGCTGCAAGTTTTAGCAAGTTGGTACAATTGGTGTGTTCACTCTTTTCTGCAATATCCAATGGTGTCAGACCATTGTTATCCTGTAAGGTCAAGTCGACATTAAATTCCAGCAGCTTTTCAACATTAGAAAGGTGTCCATGTTCAGCACAAATATGTAATGCAGTACGGTAATGACCCCGTGGACCACATGGTATATTGGGATTAGCTCCAGCAGAGAGAAGAACACCCAGACATCGAGAGTTCTCAGTTATGGCAGCAGCATGGAGTGGAGTACGTCCCCATGAATCCTGACTATTCGTATACTGGGCATGCTCACCATGCAAAAGATCCTCGAGGAGTTCAGCGTTATCCCAGAGTGCAGCTTGATGAAGCAAACGTCCAGGAAAGTCTTCGTCCACTGGTGTATAATCCTCCATCCTGCAATATATTTCAGAGATATTCAAAGAAATAACCACCAAAGTTGCGTTGATGACTCCAAAAAAGCTTCTTGCTATCTTGCCAAATATAAAGTTTATCACTCATTATTTCATTGTATATACCAATCACACTAGGTATGCACATTTGATATATAATACAAATATCCCTCAGTCACATTTTTAATTTTTCCATAACTGAATCTCTATACTGAGTATCAACAGTGTATCACTGTCACAGTTCTTTAATAAACAAAACCAAAAGCATGAACCATATCATATAATGACTTAGCGTATAAATAATTATACAGATTAAAATTCTATAATTATTGGTTACACTTGTAATAAGTGGCAGAAATTAGTCTCGTAAAATAATAAATAAGATTACGATAAGATCCAAGTCTAGAGTGGATCTGTCAAAGGAGCCGCCAAGAAAAATACTTTTCACGGTCAATCGATCCTGTTCGCATATAACAGTCACTGTAGAACAAGACACCGCGTTAAATATATCACTAGATATCGTTTAAAAACAAAAAATATCTGACGATCCACACATTTGAAATTATTTAATAAATGATCAATCTCACACACTCTACAAGCGACCAACACTGGCCGCCATTTTTCACAGCCAGTGAACTATAACTGAGCGCCTGTCGTTTGACGGTTTAACGCTTTTCGCGGGCGCACAACTGTTACGTTCGAAAACCGGTTACACGGCTCCTCGACAATCAAAGCGGATGCTTTTCAATGGCTCTTGTGGTTGCACAATTACGGGAAATCCGTTCATCCTTTTCCTGAAGAAGCCAACAATTAAATAACAAAAAAGTTCAGATACAAATCGATTAGAAATGCTTTACATTGACAAACACCATGGATGCAAATTTAAAAGCGCTTAGATAATCTTGTAGCACAATTTGTTATCCTACGCGTATTTTTATTAGATATACTATTCACACAGCGTGCATTCGCTTCGCTGTAATATAACAATATCTTCTCTAATATTCTATATAATCTTCCGTAAACTGGATTGGTATAACCAATGCAGCGTTGCGTAATATAAATTGCACAATTTCCTGGAAAGTTGTAATAGTGGGGATACCAGATCGTCTCAATTTATTATGGCAGAGCGTAGAATATTCTATAATAAAATATAAAGAGTACTGACAGTAATCTGGATTAGCGTATGATATAATAAAGTCCAGTTACTTCAATGCCAGATGACACCAGACCTTGACTTGGATATTGAATGTTTTTCGATATCTTTCAGAGGGTAGAGGTTCATAATGAAATATAATGAAAAATTGAATTACCATGGAGAAGTGAATTTTTGTTTGTATTTACGTAGCTGTTTTGTTACAAAATGGATTGTTTTTTAATAAAATCTTAATTCCTTAAAGGCAGTGTCGATTTGTTCACGTGCCAATGAGAATAATGATTCCTGTTATTATTAACAATGAGGATGATTTATTATTGTTAATAATTGTTCAATGTTTGCCTTGACAACCTTCAAGGTTAAGCGCGCGCGCCAGATTTCGCGCTGCTGCTAAACGGAATATTTCAATTTTATCCTGAAACTTAGGATCATCGCCGTGCTCTTCAACGCTGCGCATCAGTTCGAATGTGTCCTCGGAAGAGAGTATTACATCCTCAGCTTCAAGAAGTGGTACTGCATCCCAAAGTAATGTAGACCAAAAACTAGAATTAAACATCATTAATTTTAGACCCATCTCTTTTTCTTTATCAATTGAAATTAAACGAATAATTCAAAAACACTCACTAGTCTGGAGTTAGGTTTGATACTAGGAGCGATACTAGTAAACTTGCTGCACCCTTGAATTCACCAATGCCGTATGTTTGATGGAATTCGCAATACTTTCCTATAACAAGAAAAAATAAAACACATAAAAAGGATTGTTATTAAAAATTTATGTTTCATTAAATTTGAATCTCGTATTGAATACTGACCTAAAAATGTTAGTCGGTCGCTAACAAGCATACAGTTCCCTAGATTTTCAAGCAAATCTAGGCACATGACTTCACCCTTTTCAGCATAGTGTTTCAAGAATTGATCAGCAATGTAGGTAGCAAAAGCGCCATCCTGAGCTTTTAAAGCCCAGGTCAGTGCATTACCAAGCCTGTCTTGACGTATACATTTCATACCCTGGATCTTGCAGATACTATTAACTGCAACAATGTTCTTTATATTGAATATGCGCTAGGAGGAAAATAGTTACAAATAAAATTCAGAAACATACCAACGTTATGTAAATTGTTTTCCCTTGCTATGTCTATAATTTTATTTATTTTAGCTTCGCTGCCCGATGACAAAGTTTGCAATAATGTTTCTAATCTAGCCAGACCTTGTTCAGAACAATGTTCTAAGTAACTAGCGCCAACTTGCCAAAGAGAATGATGACTCATCAATGTGGTACCATAATCCAAAAGAAGAGCTTCATGCAACTGATCCGTAACACTATAAAACCATAACACAAACTCATTGGATAATCCATTTATTATTAATGTTTGGTATACGATTAAGAAGAACATACTTGATTTGATGCTTGTGAATGACCTTAAGCTTTCCACAATGATAAAGTAAATCTGTTAAATGGGCAGCAAACCATCCATTGTCATTCATGTATTGAATTTCTTTAATAACATGATGTAATTCGCTGTCCATTAATGAAAGAATAACATTATCCTGATGTTTACTAGCTTGCCATTTAGCAGCAATGTTGTTAGCGTGACGCGACAGTTCGGATTGTTTGCAACATGGAACCGAGTAAAAAAGTTTGGCCGCTAGAAGTTCGTACCAGGCATCTGTGTATTCTGAAAAATCCCAAAGAGCAGTATCGTCACCTGCCACAAGCTGTAATTGATAATTATGTCAATATTAAAATCAAACTAATGTAACAGTCATTTATTGTTTTAAAACGTACTTTCATAATATCTTCCAAATTTGGCTCACTAATAAATGTCTTGCTTTCCAACCTCGATAGCAGATCTAACTGCCAATGCTTCCAACGAATCATAAATTCATTGATTGAATAACCACCATAAACATTGTAAATTGGCATTGTTCTCAGAGCATTCTCAGCAGCTAAAAAAGCAGGATGATCCGCTTTACTGTGTAATGATAATAGAGCGCGTACTACTTCCAATTTGCCATGTAGAGCACAGCCAATAATTGCTTCCCAATAATTTATATTGCCCAGTTCAGAGGCAATGTTTTTCTTAGTCAGAACTTTTGCAGCCATTAATTCACGTTTAGGAAAATGGAAACGTACCCATTCAAGTAACTGGGGTAATACAACTTCACCTAGAGTAAGAAAAAACTATAACCATGTTTTAATGAATACTAAGTTTCTAAATCAATTACCTGGTATAGCATCTATATAAAGAATCTCAGTTAGATGCCAGACACATTCCACATTATAAAATATTGTTAGATATTGTTCCAATGTGGATCTATAGTCTGGGGTAGACTTTTCTAATACATCCTGAATGTTTTCTATGCAGGCACGTAGAATAGAACGGTATTGTTTACTGTGTTTCAGAAGTTCGGGCCTAGTATCACTACTTGCAGATGGTTTCATCTTTTGAATTGATAAAAAGACACCATTGCTCTCATTTACAAGTTTGCGTAGTGGTGCAGAGAACAAAATAACCTCAGGCCTCAAAGAATGTACTTTTGCCTCAAATGGTGCCAAGTCCTTACAGAGATCTAGAATTGTACATAAAAACGTATATAAAGTACTCCAGAAATATTGCATAATATTTATTACATATTAATAGTAAAAAATAATGTACACCTTCACAATGTTTTCTTACGCTTACATGCTTGTATGCATGCACCCCAATTTTATTAGATCCAATCCAGGTAGCAGCAATGCCTGCTTTCCTACATAAATCATCTGGAATACCCTGAGAAATTATTTGTTTATGAATACACAGTTCTTCATACACATTTTATCAATACAATTTACACTTGCAATAATTTGAGCGTTGTCGGTTTCATCCATAGTGCGCGCCTTTTCGTCTTCACACCCGGTTTCTGATTATATTCAATTAATACACTACTGTAACATGAATTAATATTATTTAATTGTTGTCATATGTAATAACCGTCTGTTTAACTAACAGTTCATAGAAGTTTTTATCCGAACTAAACAATTATACATGCCAAGATTCACACTTTAAGTCACATGTGACGACAGCACGATCACTGATGATCACTGAAAGCGGGAAGAATTATTATGTACGATTGGCAAGGTAGGAATTTCTAATATTTGGACTACTAAAATAGTAAATCATTTAATGAATTTCTATTATAACTGATTATAACCACCAAAGATATTCATTAATTATAATCACATTCAATTATGATTACTACATTTAGCGGTCGTATCCATGGCAACTGTATCATTGACCTTGCCAAGCTCAAACAGGTTCAAAACGTCCGACATTGTATCAATTGCGCTTCTTTTACGACCGGCTAAATCAAATTCTAAAGAAAGAAAATAAGACTAAGGTATGTCTGCAGTGTATTTCATCATAATTTTAAATAATTTATGATGCATGTATTTCTATTTGTTTTTCGTATGAATTTTTTTGATCTATAAAGAATAAAATGGTAGGGACAAAGATCCAACGTTCAATCGGGTGGAATATTTTGCAAGGTTGTTTTTAATTACTAACCGGCATAGATAAACTATTATTAACTCTTATAATGTTTTTGCCATCAGATGCAGAACATGACAAGTTTCCGGCAGAAACCAGGGGTACATTTTTCAGAAAGAAATGTCTTTGAAGCTGAATGGTTTGACAATGTAGCCTCTGTATTGAGAAAATTTTATTTATATTATTATCCAGCTGACAATACAGTTGAATTGGTAAATACATTATTCTTAATGTTACACATTTAATTATAAATACTTATGCACTATATATTTCATATAAATTATTTCAGTTTGATGTTAAAACAAAGAAGACGTTTTTAAGAAGATCAAAGTGCGAAGGCCTTGAAGCTAAGGATTTATATATAGGAGGTGTAGTAAAAATATTCTCTCGATGTATGAAAATAACAGATTTTGGAGATAGTGCTACAAGAAGCAAGTTAGCTTCAACTATGCAAAGGTAAAATCCATTAATATTGTAAATAATATAGGTACCATAACTATGTTCCACGTTTAAATCAATGCTTGTAGGTGAGATTGTTAATTTATTACAATTAATATTTTAGAACATGTGCTACTCTGAAGCCAAATGTTATTGATAAAATGGGAGAGATTCTGAAATATATTACTAACCATGACATTCACATTGGAAATATAAAAATGGTAGCATTAACTAATGAAGAGGCTGCAGACTTTTACAGTCATTTAAGAGGTCATAATGAACTCCCGTAGGTTTCAGGCTTAGGACATTTTTTGAAAATAATTGATTCACCTCTTTACTTTACTATACTATTATATATATATATAGGTTTATATTGGATTATATGATATCTGGACCAATTGTGGCTCTGGAATTAATAGGAGAAAATTGCATTAAAAAATGGCGAGAACTGATTGGAGCAGAAACTAGTTCAGTGTCTGTTGAAAGTGGTAAAACATCTCTTAGAGCGCGTTATGGACAGGATTCTATACATAATAGTTTACATGGTTCTGATTCAGAAGAAGCAGCTGAACGGGTGAGGTCCTTTTTTTAAAAAGAATATCTTTTTCTATTTACTCATTTATTTAATATTTTTTTATATGAATTATTGTGGATATGTCTACTTATAGGAAATAAACTTCTTCTTTTCTCAACCAAAATCAAGAAGGAAGGGCCCAAAAAATACAGCGGTATATAAAAATTGCACATGCTGTGTCATAAAACCCCATGCTGTACAAGCTCGTCTGATTGGTACATGAGATAATTCTAATATTAAAATAAAATCTAAATCATTTATAACTGTTATTTATGTTATCTACTACGCATATTTTATATTTAAGGTGACATCATTAATGATATACAGCAAGAAGGATACAAGATATCAGCTGTCCAACAATTTTATATTGATCCCACCAACGCGGAAGAATTTTTAGAGGTTTACAAGGGCGTACTGCCAGATTACAACGTATGCTCAATCAAACTTTTAAAATCGATAATTAAAATATGTTACTTCTTTGGTAATGTAATTGTCTATTTTTAAATTCTTCATTTTCTCAAAGGCCATGGTAGCTGAATTACAATCTGGGCCATGTGTGGCTATGGAAATAACACATGCAGACGAATCTATCAATGTACTAACAGAGTTTCGAAAATTATGCGGTCCAATGGATCCAGTAAGTAAAACTCTTGAACAAAAGTATATTAGTGGATTAATAATAATTTCATTCAATACATTACAGGAAATTGCGCGTCAATTGAGGCCGCACACACTCCGTGCAAAATATGGAAAAACAAAAATTCAAAACGCTGTGCATTGTTCAGACATACCGGAAGACGGATTATTAGAGGTACATATGATTTTAATGAAGGGGGTACAGGACTATTGAAACTTCAAAAATTCGACTTTTTTGCCAGGTTAAATTGCTTAGAAACGAAATTATTATTTCGGTACTTTTTACAGTTTATTGTGCATATAATTATGAGTCTTTTTAAACAAAAAAGTTGTTGATATACTCAAAGTTATGAAAATTATTAAGTGGTGAATATTGCCCTGTGTAGCTCGCAGCTTTCAATCTGTGGGCGTAATCTCAGGTGAACCAATCATCTGAAAACAAAATGCTTTCAGATCAGTAATTTATATGCTCAAAACTACAACATGGAACTTTTTGGAGGAATTTCAAAGATAATTTTTAAAGTTACATACATATCTATTTTTTTTCATTTTTACGATAAAAAATTGTCAATAATTTGTATTTATTTTTCAACTTATGGAATGTGCTCGGGGAAGTTCCATATTGTAGAGAAAGGTATTTTACAAATTCAAATTAATTATCAAGTAAAAATAATTATTCATTCAAGAATTATGATGTCCACAGTGTTGAAAATTGTAGTTTCGAGATAAATGGCTTTAAAGTTCCTCACAAAAGGCGCACAGGCCTGTATGTACACACCGTATATCGCTCGGCGAGCCTGTTACTCTGTTGCGTACTCACTTATGATTAACGCTATCAGTTCCGTAAATTTTCAAATTTGTCCACGAATTTTTTTTAAATATTTGTAAAGGATGAGGCTTTCAGCAACAGAAATTTGAAAAAAAAATCTATATTTTTCTTATTTCAGTAGTCCTGTATTCTCTAAAATAACGAGCTCTGTTAGAAGATCTTATATGCTCTTCCTTTATAGGTGGAATATTTTTTCAAAATTCTGGCGGAGGAGTAATTCATATCTATAATATGAAAGAATCCTACATGCTTGAATTTTTAATATGCTTTAAGCGACAAATAATCGTCATACGTTATGAAGTAACGCATCTTTACATGCACGCAATGAAGATTTTTACGTTTTAACAACACATATTGACTAGCGTTACATGTAATAAGTTTACAGGGTGCGCGTATTTTCCATATTGTTGATGCTATTAGATTTATAGTATATATTAATATGCACTAACCGTTAAAATATAACATATATTCTAAGACTTAGGTTACTAAAATAAAAAAAAATTTTTTAAATGTTTCAATGCGTACGCAACTATTTATAATTAATTTTTTGCAAAGATTTATGGTTCAGCTACACAAGATCTAACATTGCTTGTAACCAATTTTTGTTAAGATATAATATACGCGGTAATGTATTTCAGTTTTGCAGAAATCGTGACCACGTACATCAGCACTCAGTTTTCCTGTTTCCTTTTGTTAACTGATATTCCATGGAAATTGTGTTTATTAAAAATATTAATAATTTCGTTGTCTGGAATTATCTACAGTCTGTGTCGTCTTATAATTAAATACATAGACAATAAGTAGCCATTGCTGGCACTTGCTCGAGACTGAGATAATGTCAAAGAGGACGACGTAGAAGCAAATCGCCTTGAGAATTAGCAATAACAATGATATCCCAAGAGGTTCAATCATACAGTGAAATTCTTTAATGTGTGCTGGTTCATATCGAAGACTTCTTCATGACCTTTAAAAAATTTATTAATATTGGTTTTAACCGGTTTAATAAAATAATAGAATGTTGCTAAATGAATATATTAAAATGTGACATAAAAGAATATTGACATTTGAAAATACGTAGAATTTTTTTATTCGTTCATCATTTTTATTTCTTAATGTTGGCAAACATCGTACCAGGCAAAGTGTTATTGGCGACAACAATCAAATTCAAATTTTCATGACAGTTGTAATCTTATAATACCACTTCACTCTTTTCATTAGTGAAAGTTAATTAAATCCAAATGAAATTTTGATTAGTTACAACTATTAATAACTATTGATTCTGTTGATAGAATTTTTGACGAATACTTTTATAAGTTTAAAAACATTGCAGCCTAAATTTGATCTTATACAACTTTACAAATACGTGTATGCAAATAAAGGTCGATTCACACATTTTAGTACCATTTTGTACCAACATCGTTCAGACGCTACAGTATCGTCACTGTTCAGTACAGTTCGTTAAATGAAAATTTCATTGCAGATCGCCATCCGAACTTCTAGTGTATTTATGAGTTCGAGGTATTTTCTGACAGATTGAAAACAATGAACTGTCTATGGCAAGGCATTCGTGTCACTGCATAAAATGTTTGTTACAAAGTATGCATATGCATGGTTTTACACTAAATGTTTTATTTTTCTATTTTATCATATATTTAGAATAAATACCAATATGTCTGAAACTGCCTTAACAAAACTATATGACGATGGAGGAAGAGGTTGAAACGCTTTTGTAATTAGCGATTTCTATGATGCAAACGACAATCGATTTTACGAAGTAATTTTATCGCGCGTGCTACCAATAACATAAGTTCAAGTGCATAAAAGTCACTGAAATTGGGGCCATTCACGATTTTATTCTTATAGGATAGGTGGCAATAATAGTTTTTAAATGTGTTTTTTACAAGCATCAAACTCGTGTACTTATCGACTGAGGAAATAAGAATCTCATTTTCCTTATTGTATAAAATTCGAAGCTCCTGCAGGTACTTAAAATGTATTAATTAATAATTTAAAAAATAATGTATATCATCGCGACTATTTTTCTATAATGTATATTGTTTGTAAAGAATTCAAATACGAAGGAGTTAATACATTTAGATCCCAATTAACGCTAACTCGTTCAATGCTGTTTCGTAGTAGCGTGCTTTTGCAAACGCACGGTAAAACAGGAATTTCCCAAGTCCTTCAAGTACCTTGCTTAGCACTGTTCTGGCACAAGTTCCTCTGGAGGATAGAGTCGTAAAGAAAAGAAAGGAAAGTTTAGTGCTGTATTTTTTTTTTCGCACTCTAAATTCTAAGTACGTAACCTGACCGTTAATCAGGGTCTTAGAGTGCCTGTGAATAACTTCAAGTTTTTAAAGCTTTATATCCTTAAAATACACGTCGGCTTAAATTCCGATTTTGTTATTATATGAATATGTATTTACTTTCATTTACATACGTAAAACGTAAAACCATATAGATATACTACTGGCCGGGCTTACATCACTTAAATAAAATTGGACAGCAAACAGCAAAAAAAGAACATGAGGATTAATTTTGTACACACCGACAGCAAAAACAGTTATTAACCTAAGATTCTCGTCTGTACCAAAAGCGTATGTCAGATTGTAAAAAAGAGAACGAATACAAATGAGACTGTTTTTCTTTTCGAATCACTGTGCCTCTTACTATTATTCTAAAGAATTTTATCGGCCATTAAGTGGATCACGGTGGCTCGTAACTGCTCGTGACTGGTCGGTCCCAGAGCGCCATTTACAAATGACAAAAATGTTTCTTACTTGAATAAAATAATATACACCATTCAAATGCTGTATCATTCGCATATTGATTGAACGAAATTACGTTGTCAAAAATTTTTTAAGAATTGAATGATTTTGACAAATTATCTTATCTTAGCTAACGCGCTCGTATCACTGGCTCAATGTGAGAATAAAAAAGAGCACACGAGGCTGCAGAACAAGTTTTACGATGTCCTACATCCGTACATGAGTCTTCTCATCTATGAGTTAACTCGCATTCTTTTTAATGACGAGAGAATATTCCATCAGTCCAATACAACTTTCACAAAACATGTGTCAAACTTAGTAGAATAATCATTCTACCAAGAGACTGATGTTATTATACTAGTCCCATCATACTTAAACATACCTTGCGATTTGATCCTATGCAGGAAGTAACAACACTAGACTGGGTATTCGTAGATAAATTATATTAGGTATTATTATACCTTTAATTTTGTTCAAATTAAACAACGCGATGTTATTTTTTTTAATCTAATGATAACCGACAACAGATAAATACTGTTGGCGGAATTAATAAATTCAATTCGATGCAATTCAACATTATTTGAATTTTCCCGCATATAGGTACGTGGTCAATAATTTTTATCTAAAGATTGTTGATATAATGGTGTTAGATATAATGATAATAATAACAATTTATACTTGATCCATTGATAAATAGATTCTATAGATAGTTATATTATAGTAATAAATTATGAATTGAGTGAATGCATGATTTAAAATAATAATAATGATACACGGAGAAAATTGTATACTAAGAATTGCTGTAAAGTTCGTGGTAAGAATTACTACGAAAATAATAACCTCGGGATATTTTGTCATATTAATTTTTTTCTTTTATATTACCATAGTAATCTTTCGTTCGTTAAAAGTGAATTTTTCAATCAGCAAATTAAAAGGTACAGTAAATAAATTTTTAGAATATAAAATTTACCTTTTTGCCATTAATAATTCTTCGTGAATCTAGTAAAAAGTTTATAATGCTTAAACACGTTATAAGATTGATAAAGGAAGTACGGAAAGAAAATATAAAAATTAAAAAAATGCGTGTAATTACAATTATTTTGTTATCGATGTCACAGCATGTGATTATACATTAATTTATAATGTGGGTCGCAGCTATTGACAGATGCATCGAAATAAATGTTAAAAACAATTTGTAACGTTTCGGTCTTTAGTCGGTATCTGTACCGATTTTTGACAAAAGATTGAATTAGAGGATTATTATATTATATAAGCAAATAATAGTTACACAAATTAAACCGTTGTCACCGAATTTTCAATATATTGAAAAGCCGAAAGGGAAAACCAATCGATAATCGTTCGATCGGCCTAAATGTAGGTAGTGAATCGGTATAGACGATTCGTACAAAACGCGTATGTACACTGGAACTCTTAACCGTACTGTACAAGCCAATCGGCATATTGAAAAATGGATTGTGGTGGTAGCCAAGTCCGACGATCGTCAAGAGCCAGTTGCGCGTTTAACATCGCGCCGTGCGGATCCGCGTTGAAAATCTCTTGCCGATTTTTTCAAATTTTAAACGAGATTCGTTAATAGATCAATGTAATCTTATCTGTCTGTAATAATCGTATTTCTTTTATTAAAAGCAATATTAAATGAATTAATTTTTGTATCAGAGATGCAACACTGCCGATCGAAAAAATCTTCACGATTTTTCCTGCCGTTGTAATTCAATTTTGTACAAGCTGTGTTGGTCCTTTTTGTTTTCTCAACCAGTCACAGTGATAATTTTTTTTTTTTCATTATTCCGTACGATTGGCACGGTAGATTTATATGAAAACAAAAATCGGCAAGGTGTTAACGATTTTTTTGACTTATTCTCAATCACTCCTGGTTATTTGTGACGAATCGTTGTAGTTCCTTAGAGTTCGGAATTATACACAGCGGTAAGTCTGCATCAACTATATGGGGAATACACGAGATTCCTGATATAATAATTCGAATATATTATTCTCTTAATTCAATTATTCACATCTTTAAATATCAATATTATATTCAAGTATGCACGTATCGAATAATCAAAATACAGAAAAATGTACTTTTTCTTTCTGATTTATCTAAAAGCATGTAATCTATAGGGATTACGTCAAAACCAATGTTTATTCTGTCGACTTACTGATCTGCGTGTTTGTACTAACAATTGGTATTTCGAATAAACTGTTACCATTTGCCAGCTTTACGGAACAAAGACGCTTCTCGACTACAAACGTTTGCGGGCACTTTTTGCAGTTGAACGCATGAAAAAAAATCAATTGTATCATACATATAAAGAGCGTTAACTGGTTCGCTTCGTAAATCTTGCGCAGGACTAATTAATTAATAAAAATTTCAAATTTGCATTATAAAAATAATACATGTTAAATCTGTATGTCAATTAATTGTCAATTCATTGACAAGCAATGAAATTATTAAAAAATTAGTTACTGATCAATTCTATTAATTAATAAAAACCACAACGTCAAGTGGTAAAATAATAACAGGCATGAAACGAAAATTACATAATTGACAATAATTATTTTTATACCTGGAAAACCAACAGTATCGTCAGGTATCCTTTCTAACGGTGCATCCATTCCTGTAATGTACAATAAGACATAGTTCAATGTTAGATACTGTAAATTTATCGATTTCCGATGACCCATTTAACGGGATAATATTTGGATTGACAAAACGTCAAAAGACATACGATTAGCTAATAGAGGAAGCAAACGGAAACGAGCTCGAATGATTGTCAATCGGAAGTAAAAACAAATAAATTAGTCGCATTATAAAATTTGCATATAAATCATGCATTGAATGGGACTATTATTTCTGGAAAGGGCTGTATGACTGTTACGTACTTGTCAGTTGACATACGTACGTGTACTTCAGCGTGTCAGTAAGATGGCCGATTTGTACGCGAGATACGTATACGAATAGCAATAAAGTAATTCGTGAGTTCCTTTCAATGATGCATTCTCGAGTATAGCTGTATATACATATACATATACATGTGCAGGCGTATTTACATGGGATAATCAGAGCGACTATGCACTTGACCCGATTTTATCCGAGCATTCAGGAAGAGTGAAAGCAAAATTTGAAACATAACTTTTTGTTTGAGTCGTAGTTGGATTATACAAATTTTAATAATTTTTTTAAAATTAGGGATAAAAAATATTATTACCATACTATAGAACCGTTACAGTCGGCGTAATTATTTCGTGCTAGTTAGGAATATTTTTTTTCCCACATTTCTACGCTTAACGCTGTACCACCTATTTATCACTTTTTATAAGTACGTATGACTTAAAAAAATCGCACGTCAACTGGCGATTAGAAAACTTTTTATGAAATGTTTTCTCTTTTTTTTTTTTTAATTTTTTTCTTTACCTATGTCAATATGATTAATGTAGTACTGTGATACTTCCTTTTCAAATTAGTAAGGAAGTGCAAGTTGTCAGGTACCTTTTTGTAATTCGTTAAATTTTCTAATTGCCAAAACCAAACTCACCTGTAGAATTTAAGCGCTGTAAAAATGAGTATTAAATTTCTGGCTAGCCAAATCGCTAAATATTTGTTCCCCGTCACTTATACACACACTGAACTTACAGTGAGGTAAAAGGCACTCTCAATCAGTATGTTCATCGGATTGCATTAATTTCGTCGAACCGTTACGCAAGTGGTGTATGGTTGATTTTGGAAGACAACAGAACGTCTGTTTAAATACTTTTTCCAAACCCAAATTGATAACGATGACACGTGTAATTAAGAACTTGCAAATTAGTTCCGTGACGTTTTACAAATATTTTCTTCTCTCAAAAATAAAATACAAAAGCTTAAATTTTTTTAAATATTCACTTCGTAAAAATAAATCGACGCGCACGCAATGATTTATCGATAATCTTAGCAAGAGTAACGGACTCTGACTCCACGGCGTATAGTCCGCGTACGAAATCGATCACGGATCAATAATCCGATATAGTACCGTATTTCCTCTACTATAGGGTGTCCCAGAAGTAATCGAGCACTACAAGGAGGTATTGCGCAAACCGTAGATCGCAATAGAATCAGTTTGCACATAACCGCATACTGTCGAAATTGTATTAGTAACAAATATATCATGTTCGAAACTTTGCGACATGTACAGACATTTTCAAAAGCTAAATATAGTCTGTTAGAAAAAAAAATATTTTCCTTATTACATATGACATAGATATGTGCATATAAAGTTTACCGTGAAAAGCGATGACTTTACTGTGACTTACTATATGTACATAAGGTATTGTAACAAATGCATATAAATATCTGTATCTGTAGATACTGTTAAAATAGTATAATGCATTACCGTATTTATGATCTGAAATATATATTATATAATCAAAGTATATTATATCACAGTATACATGTATATTATTTCAATATATACTTGTTATTGAAATTATAATCGATATAGTCATTGAACGACACCATATCGTACACTCAATTGAATAAATAACGTATCACGCACAGTGCGTGTATGTCGAAGAAAAAACCAATTACCAAAAGCTATTAAATAGATTAGTATAATGCTAATTAGAAATATTTTTATTTTCCATTGATAAAGCAACGGTGCATTCTTAACATACGTATACGTATCTACATGGTATCTCAAGTTTTCTGTTCACTTACGATAAAAATGACGGCCGCGTAGAAAAATTCCAGAATAAATCATTTGACTATCGCGCGCATTCGTCTTGACGGTTTCGTCATAAAAAATCAGTGACTTTGCAGAAAAAGTGCAGGCAACGTAGGAACAATAAAATTTTACCAACACACAGAATCTGGTCATAAACATGATTAACTGTCAATAATAATTGCTATAATAAAAACGGTTCAAAGAACTGTTCAATAATTTATATATACATATATAACTATGGCAACAGTGTTCTTAATACTTAAACAGTTTTCTATATTAACACGAACGGGGTTAAGTTGTATATGTTTAGAAGAATTAAAAAATATTAAATTGAAGTTTTGATAATATTAATGAGAACAATAGCAATAAGAGAAAAACAGCCGTAGATAATCTTTAATGATTCTTTCATAAATATATTTAAGTGGAACAATGCCGTTTCTATCAAATATTCCATGAGTCGTTGTCCGATGTGAATCTTGTAATGGCTCCTTGCTATTGGCGCAATCTGCATATAACAGTGTGTATATCCTCGGCATTATTTATCATCCTGGATATATCATTATGGTTGGCAATTATCGTGCCATGTAAATTGGCTAGAGTTTGCCACGAAGAACGGCATTACGGCATCGTGTGTATTTGGCCGCAAAGACCAGCTGTTTGTGTTTTCAGATTCTTATGTATACATATTAAGAATAAATATTAGTGGAATATATTCATGTCAAATATTTGTAAGGACGTGAAACAATTATTTAATTGAAATATCTCGTAAAATAAGTTTTTTAAATAATTATTGGGGGGATGGAGACCGAAAATTGTTACGGATGAAATAAAGAATTCTGTGATATATAAATTGTCAGGGATGAGTACAGCCGGGAAACGTAGTGTCGCTCCATAGGCAGCGTTACCTACTGTGGGTTTTTGTTCCGCTTACGACTACGTCACTGAGTGCGTCAAATGTAATCGAATAAAATGGATAATTGGCTGGACCTCTTTAGATTGTACTTTCCGGTACACTTCTGGATTATTACCACTGACACATGTGTACTTACGTGTGCCTGAAGTAAGTGACGCGCATGCGCGTGGCTATACGGAGGCCATTGGTACTGAATGACTAGAAGAATTGGCGCCTCTTTTTTGACAGGTGTTGTTAATTCTAAATTTTTTTTATTTGAATTTTAATTGACCTTTTGATATGCCAAAATATTCCACTAATTCATCTTTCGAGTCTTGTAAACTCACTGGACGTTCGACTCTTTGAAAATCAGTGGTCATCGGTCTTCAAATTCTAGTTGTGTATTTACGTACGCGTAGAACGAAAATTATTGAATACATATGCTAAGCGATTTGTAGGTTATATGATGAAGAACGAAAAATTGGCAAATTAGCTTTTTCGATTGATGAATCTCTTTGCAAGGTAAAATAAAAAATTAATAAAGTTGTGAAAAAAACTATTGCATAACTTGATACAGTCCAAAACATATACAATATACAGTAATACTGTATACATATACTCGTAAACCAATAACTATAGTATGTACGGTGTTGGTCAAAACTACATTTAATTTTAATCAGGTTAAATTTCATTTAATAAACTTAAACTTGATATTGAATCAATTTATTGATTTGAAATTGATTATGCTTAATCGATTATTGATTCTGAAGAATTTATATAAATATTTGTACTATGTAGACGTTCGCACGTGTAGTTTCACGTGTTGAACCTTGAATTTAAAAAAAAAATAGAAGAACGTCCCATGCATGTGCTTCCTGCTTCCGCCATGCAATGTCGATTACATACCCCAGCCTTCTTCTTTCAATAATGGCTGCCGTTAATACTAGGAATTTATCCAGGAATGGAATCTGAAACACGTACTTTGACTAGTGCTTAAACTATACGAAGGTCCGTCCAATAGAAAGTTTACCTGAAGCTGTAAAATGTCACTGTGAATTTGACACAGTGCCAACGGTATCATTCGGAATAAATACTTGGTTTTTATTTTCAAGTAATATTATTATTTTATTACTAATTTAATGTTGGATTTTATTTTTTCCCGATAACAGGTAAGAAATAATTTACGTTGCCGTAATATTCATGGAGAGAATATTGATAATCGAAGAAAATTACTGAGAGATTTTATTTGAAGAATCTCAGGAAGGAGATAGTTAACGGCATTCAAAGGCCGCAAGGTCTGACAGCGCGCACGTTACGTAATAGTTTTATAATGGGCGATTGTCGCGCCGCCATAAATGTAGCGGTGGCATGTTCAAGTAATTACAGAAGTCCGGCAATTTTCGGTTAAATCGCGAAGTTTTTTCACGCAATTTAAATCTTTACGTCTTGGCATTGACATCGTACTATTTTTCAATAATAACAATGACGATTCCGGTTGTTACTATCGTAAAAATGGTACAACAAGATAATTTGAATTCGAAACGTCAGTTACGTCTAAATCGTACATTGTTCAAGTTTAAAAACCACAGGGACAGGAGATCTGCTTTATGATAATACATTTGTTTTTGTATGATTCTCCCTGCCACTTGCATCCTACATTTTTATGTAACTTGTTTTGGAACAATACTAACTACCATTCTGCGAATATAGAAGAAACCTACAACTAGGATTTTCGAGATGTAATAAGCGTCTCAGATAGCAAAATTATATTCTGAGGACGTTCTCACAGTGTTTAAACAGGATATACGTATACATATACTGACGTACGTTCACTTGTCCGTTTCAAACGAATGCTGAGTGCATTCTGAAGATATCCTTTGATAAATTCAAAATGTGTACAGCATATTCTAATTACATACTCAGTCTCCAGCTAACCTATAATAATTTCAAAAATACTAGCTGACGTATACATTTACCTAAGCTAGTTCTCCGTTTTCCGTAATTTTGAAAATTCTTTACTTAACACAAAATTTGATCGTATGGTCGGGTTGCAATATCAGTTCCTCTTTGAGGGGCCATCTGTTTACGAAACGACACATATTAAGTCCCCTAAAACCCAACCTATCACGTTCTGACTAAATTTGTGACATGTAGTTTCAAGTGCAGTTGAAAAGGATTTATAATTAAGTACACTTTTAAATATATAAAAGATCCCAAGCACGCTATGGGTACTTTGCGTAATTTATTGTCTACACTGTGAACATGTTTATCTCTCACTCAATTCGATAAAAGTAAAAACAAAGAAACGACGACACTACTGGTAGTTAATTTCGGAAAGTAAGGAAAGCTGTCAAGGCTTCTTCGTAGGACTGACAGAGACTGAATACTTTCAACGTGTTGTCCACATTGCGGATCTACCAAAGAATATTCTCAGAATGTACTGAGCATCTCATTTAGAACAGATACACGAATTCTTTGTATATGCATCATAATTTACTGAGATCTATTGAGAAAATCGAGTACCTGTTTCAAATACTGAAATTAAAATTAGAATATTCTGAGAATGTCATACCTACGCCATCTGGAATAAGTGTACGGATTTTTTTTCAAAGTTAAATATCAATTTACATCATATACTATAATTCTGTGTTAAATTTTTTGGATAACTTTTTCCGTCAAAGTATCCATTTATTTTATGTTTTTGTCATACCAAAATTCAGTTTTTCTTTCTTTCCAAACCCTACTTTTTATTATTTCTGATAATAATTAGCTCGAATTTAGTTATTCATCTTAATCTTGTACGAATACCACGTGTCAAAAAAACGACTTCTTGTAAATTAAATTTTCGATTTTTGTTTTATAGAAATTCACAAATTATTCCTGAGAATCTTTAAAAAAGTATAATTGTCTAACACTAGTCTCGTTGGAGGCACACCGTAACAGTAGTTCTTCTCGTAAGCGAAATCCAGTAGAAGTACAATGGCACGAATGCTTACGTAAATGTCACGTTACGCACGTAGCCATACCACTGTGTACAATTTGAGGTATTCATTGCCATGGGCATGGCCATTCGAACGTCATTCGCTTGTAAATCATTTGAAATCGTCATCAGAAGTAATTGCGTGCTCGGTGGCATTAGACATAAACATAATTTTTATTCGTTTAATGTATATTTCAACTCGATAATTAATTATAAATAATAACATATAACTTATTGATTTAATTGTGTCTTTTCCTTGTTAATACTTTTTAATTCTATTCTATATTTTTCTATAATTTTTCAGATTTTAATCCGAGACGCATTATGATCTAATCCAAAGGATATTCACTATTCATAATTTTTTAATTGGCAATCCTTTCACGAATCTTCACAAGGAAACCAATACAAGAAATAACAATGATGCTGCTTAAGAGCTTCTTTCGGAGGATCATCAAGGACTTCCGGCATAAGGAGCTACTTCCTCTCAAATTAATATTCTTCGTCCAAGCATCAAGTGCGTAAAAATTAAATTAATCTTTGTTCGAGATTGATAAATAATATTCATTGATGGTATTGTTTTATAAATTTTCAATTTACTTATTCGCCGCGATTCTTAACTCCGTGATATTTTAGTTACGTAAGATTGGCAACAATTAATATTAAAAATCAAATTTCTTTTTTTAGCTCTATACGTACTTTATCCATATTTAACAATCCACATGAGAGAGCTGGGCATAAATGTAGAGGAAACTGCCATTATGAGTGCTGTAACTCCTTTTGTTGCCATTGTGATGCCTCCATTGGCAGGTCTACTGGCGGATCGTATAGGAAATTTTAAAGTGAGTACGTTATATCTATATTCTTTCACAAAAATGGAAGCATGACCCAATATTTTTTTACCTTATTTTCATTGCCGTTAAAATTAATGTTATACTATTTTTCAAATTCATTTTTAAATTTTCAGATTTTATTATCATTGTTCTCGTCACTAGGAGGAGGTGCGGCGCTTCTGCTACTGTTAGTTCCGGTTGGCAGAGTGACAGTGCAATTCCCGGAACGTGTTATCATGGACCTCAGTTGTCCCTTGAATAACGAAGGACTGTTATATACCATGAACCAGAATTATCCTTGCGAAACGAAACTAGCGCCGGAAGTCAACACGAGGCTAGAGAGTTGCGGGTGAGCGGGAAGTTCAAAATATAAAATCACTGACACGAACAGCAAAAAATATATTATATTTAATGTATTATTTTATTTAAATAAAGCTTAGCTTAATATACATTTTTGAAATTTTATTTCAGATACATTTGCTATGTCGATTTGCATGACGACTCTGAGGTGGAGGCTATACTTATGTCACGGTCGTATGTGGTAAAACATTACGATTTGTCGACTGGCCTTAATTCTTCATACAAGTACACGATTTCGAAAGCTGACTTGCCCAAGGTACATTGCAACAACGAAAATGTTTCGTAGAAGGAAAGTATAGAGAATTTTTTGTCATAATTTTCTCGATTATTTTTCCTATCAATATTATATATTGAAAATGGTGTCGCTAATATGAAGTAGTATAATAAAAATCTTATACCGCATGATATCTAATAAGACTTCCTATTTTTTTTGCAGTATGTTACGTACACAGACGATATAAGGGAGCACAGAAAGTTGACAAACAATGAATTTTACAAAACGTCAATTCGACAACTGTCAAAAAGTACTTTTTATTTTCCCACTGGTCAGCTTTATGACTTTTCATGTACCGACTTTGAAAATGATATGAGCGTTTTCAACAATTCCACTTTTGTATCAAATCGGGAATTAACGGACTTACACAATGGAAATGACACCTTCTGTACTTTCGGAAAATCCGATGAAAATGAAAAGGTAATGTAAACAATGTAATTGTCAAAACGTTGATTATATAATTGTGCCGTGAAATCAGTGTGTTTTTGCGAGGCCATCTTCTTACGGGTTATAACGTAAAAGGAGTCCCTTGATCGTGATACCGATATCACGGCTAAATTATAAATTGAAAAATGTCTGTTATGATATTTTAAGTTATCACGTAATAGACAAAAAGTTTGTAAAATTACAATTATTTTTTATCACAGTACAATCAAACGCGCGAAATAAATTATTACTCGTACAAATCAAAGATGACAGCGCTGGATCCAACCGACATAGATAAATTTGAAAATAAAAGAAGATACATGGTGGACGAGATTGCCTGGAACGATGACAATTTCCGGAAACCAAAGTGCGACAAACCAGTTGCATTGGGACATAAAGTAGCTCTGAGCTTTTCATTAATCAATTACACAGTTTCACCAGAACCCTACAAGTTTTTCTACCTTGAAGGATGTAGCAAGCGTTGTATTTTAACGGCCCCACGCAAGGACGTCTGTTCGAACAAGGAGATGGAAATTGAGTATGACGTACAACTGACGTTTTGGCTTTATCTTGCAATCAGAGTTTTCATTGGTAACTAATTTGGATTAGTAAAGAAAGAAAAAAAGTGTTCGCTTATTTACCATAAAAATTGCCCAATTCGTGTACAGAGCCTAGTATAATTTTCATATAACAGTAATTAAATAGAAATTAAAGAAAATTAATTTTTTTTTAAAGAATGTGATATCTTGGTATTTTTTTTAGGTATGATCGGCGGCACTGCCTTCGCCATGTTCGAGGGCGCTGTGATCGCTATTTTGCGTGAACAAAAAGCTGATTACGGATTGCAAAGAATATATGGTAGCATCGGCGGTATGATTTCATCCCCTTTGTCGGGTTTATTGATTGACTATGCTAGTCGTGGAAAAGGATATACTGATTTTAGGTATTGAAAACACTTCATGCAATACATCGATAATAGAAGTAAGCAATTTAAACGAAAAAGAACTATTTTTTCTTTACAGGCCTGCATTTTATCTCTATGCAGGACTGAAGCTTGCTTCTGGTCTTCTTATGCTGGCGATAAACCTTGAATTTAAATCGCCCGCCAGTAACGTAGTCAAAGACGTAGTTAGCGTTTTGAAAAATATCGAACTTGCCGCGCTGTTCATCGCTTGTTTTGTTTTAGGTAATTTTTAATATTATAATTATAATATACATAACTAATATATATACTCAAGTAAATTTATTTTACCAGACTTTTGTATTTGTTATTAGACAAATACGACTCATACTGTGCCTAAGGATATTCATATTATATATATTATTTAACAATTTTTATTTCTATATATTTGGATAAATCGTAATGTCAAATCCTTAAGAAAAAATCATATTTCAGGTACTGCCTGGGGTTACATTGAGTCCTTCCTCTTTTGGCTTCTACAAGATTTAGGAGCATCCAGATCACTCATGGGTATTACAATAACTGTAGGTGGCATAGCTGGTATCCCGTTGCTTGTTTTGTCTGGCCCAATCATCAACAAGATAGGTCATGCCAATGTTCTCTTCATTGGCTTTATCTTTTACGCTGTTCGACTTGTGGGTAAGTTTTTAATTTCAATTCAAAAATTTTATTTGCAGTTTAAATCATGAGTTAATCAAATGGATACGACTGTTATCTCTCAATGCGAAAGTGTATCATTGTCAAAGTAATGAAATATAATTCTTATCGTTTTAGGATATTCTGTGATTTACAATCCCTGGCTATGCTTAATTTTTGAAGCTTTGGAATCTGTTACGTCATCTTTAAGTTTCACTGCAGCTGTGACATATGCGGCTAAACTGTCAAGCACTACTACGGATAGTTCCATACAAGGGTTACTTGGTGGGCTCTATTACGGCGTTGGTAAGTTTTTTTTTTCATTTTTGGAAATTTATTTTTTTGTATATTTAATCTTACGTAATCAAATCGTTCGACAGGCAAAGGATCGGGAAGCTTGATCGGCGGATATTTGATGAAGGCATTAGGCACTCGACCGACTTATCAAATTTTCGCGGCGGTGTCTTTGATAACAGGACTGATGTACTTCATCTTCAATGCCGCTTACCTGAAAAAGCGTCCTCAGGTAGAGGGTAACGATATAGTGAAGAAGAAGCCAAAGAAGCCAAAAGATCAAGTTGAATTAGAAGGTGGCGAAACGGTAGTTGGCAACGTTGACAAGGGCAAAATTTACGCAATCGATAATGAAGCCTTCAAGGAGGAAGAGAAGTTAGATGCTGGATCTAAGGATATTGAGATATTGAATAATGCTAAAAATCTTGGGAAAACGGACAAAACGAAAAGTATCGAGAAATCGGGGGAATTGGATTCAATTAAATTGAGGAGTCAGTCAAATTTAGATAATTCTGCGAGAAGACGAAATTACGAGGGTGTCACGAATTCGAATTTTGAAAATGATGTCGGTGACAAGTGTGACGTCATTATCGAGAAGGAACCTGATGATAAAAAGTAGATAATTATTTTTGTATTCTTTTCGTTTCTGACTCACAAATAATAAAGTGTATGCAGAGATTTATTACTTTTTGGTTCAAAATAAAGAAATCGTTTTTGACGAAAAGCCAATCATAGAGTTTCTAGCGCCTGATCATATTGTGTACAGTAATTGTTATCCATAGGCGAAGTTGAAAACGTTCACAAGTGTTAAATATTTAATTATTTATGTATATTAAATAATATATATAAATGTGCGACAATTGATTTGTATAACGCATGTGAAATTTTTTGTTTCATTAAAAACCATATTTATGTTTATGTTCGTTCCAAAAATAAAACAAGGTATTGATAATATATTATGATATTGAACTACTATATAGTATGTTTATTATTTGGAATCGTTAACGACAGCTTATTTATTTATAATTATTGTCATCTTATGCAATTTGCACGCAGACATACTTCGCAGGGTTAATTTCGCTTATAAAATGGTTTTGGAGTTAGAAAATGGTAACAAAGAAATAATTTTAAGTTAGGTTAGGTTTGCTTAGCTTTTTTTATTGTCATCTGAGAATAATGATACGAAGTTAAGAAGAAGTTCGAAAATTTAAATATCGGCGGGTACAGAATCTTAAATTTTGAAAGATCATATAGAGGATGTAGAGGCATAAGAAAAAGTAAAGGAAAAACTTTGAGAGACAGTAAATCGCATTCAAATCAATTATTCAATTTGATTTTGTATCATTTTCTGTCGTTATTGCATTGAACTAGAGCTTGGTAGCTGCTTCTTACGTTCGGTAAAATTTATTTTGGTAGTAGAAGTGTAACGTATTTTACATGTATAAAAATCCTATTTTTTACATACCGAAATCCAAATTCTGGACTAGTTTTATTAAAGAGAACGGGTTTGTGCACATTTTCGGTTGCTCGACTGTAATTCCATGTGAAAATGCATCGGTAACGGTCTGTTACAGTTTGTTGAACGTGTTAGAATAATTTTTGTCATTTCGAGCAATTAGCGTTTGAACCTCAATCCGGCAGATGTCTTGACACTCAGTCACATAGTCGAATAGTCAAAACTTTGAATCTCAGAAAGTATGTACAATAGTAAAAGAGGTAATTACAAGTGTGTATATGCAAGTATACAATGAACAATAGACAAAATCACCGAACCTTAATTTATATATGACTATAAAAAAGTTAAAAATTTAAAGAAAGTGTAAAAAAGTATTTTCCAAAAATTTCAAACAAAAAATATTGCAACAGAAATAAAAATACAGAGTGTCATTAATAACATCTATTTATTTCTGTAAAGTAATATACCGCAATAACCTGTGAAATTAGACAAAATAAGAAATTATTCAAAGAATACCGATGTGTCCCAAGTTCAAAATATGATAAGATAACTACACGGATGCTTATCGGTATTGGACAATAAAATTCCCACCGACTTTATACCAGAAACAGTTACGAGTCTATATATGTGAGTAAAACACGGTGCTCTGGTCATTCATCCGTGAGAATCATCTTGAAGATGTTGCGCAAAGCGTCGATGTACCTGCTGGTGGTAGGATTGGCATCTTCAGCAACGTTACCGGAAACAGTCTCCTACACGAAGATATCACGAAATGGCGAAGAACCGATTAAAGCATCAAATGGTCCAATGTCATGGGTAATGAGGTAAAGTATATAAAAATTAAAAAAAATTAACTTAACCAGTATTATAAAAATCAATTTTATAAATTATTAAAATCATCATTAAAAATCGTTAATTTTTTTTACAGTCTCCTCAAACCAAAAAATGGCACCACCAGTACAGACAACGAAGGTCGAAGTGGACAGGATATCAGCATAACAGTGTCACCAGTTTACGTACCACCCAAGACGCCTCAATTGCATAATGGGGAGGCAGTTGATTATCCATCTACGAAAAAGTGAGTTATTATACTTTTTTTTTTTCATTTGATTATTCCGTTGCTATCGTCTTTGATGATTTCGACTTTTTTGTTCGTCCACTATTTTCTGGTCATTTCTTTGCTAGGTACTCGACGTTGGACCTGGAAATGGTAGCCAAAATGAATAGTTTGTCAGGCAAGACACGAGCTCAGGAGAGATTTCATCCCCCAGCTATATTCGAACACGACGTCGCACATTCGAATAGCCTAAAGCATCAAGCGGATTCGTCGGACTCATCAGATTCTTCGTCCTCGTCTTCGTCTTCGTATTCAGATTCATCGGATAACTCCGGTCCACCTAATTTTGACAATACACCTGTTTTCCCGGGTTCCTACGATTACAAACCTCCGGATTATTTCGCAATGAAACCAATGTCGAATCCACCACCTAGTTCCATTGACAGTTACGCGCCACCGTCAGACACGATTCCAAAGGTACACAATTTTCTATTATTACATGCTGTAAAGTATGTAAACATCAATATAGATATGTATATGGTTTTTTTTTTTATTACAGATTCCAGATTCCTATGGACCGTCACTTGGTTCTTACACGCCGGATTCCCATGGACCACCGGACTACCATGATCATCATCCAGATGATCCAGAATTCACGCAACAGGTGCATTCCTCTAATTTTGGTTCCCGTCCGATTTACGGTGGCGAACTGCCACCGAAGCCCATTGAATATGCAGGACATTTTGATCATCCGAGTTTCGTCGACGATCCCTATATACATGATCACGATCATGATTATCATCATGATATAATATATGATCATATACCGGAAGATCATACCACTATGAAACCGGAAATGATGGATCAGCGTTTAAACAGGAGGCCATATTCGTATTATTTTATTGGCAAAAAATTGTGGTATATTCCATTGTATTTTAGTATTTATTTTATTATTTATATTGCCGCTTTGGTTTTGAAAAGCGTTACCAGACACAAGATCAATTTTCCTGCCAATTTCGCAGCAGCAGCTGCCGCTGCTCATGCTGGTAGGAGCGTGAAGGACTCTGATAGTCACAGCTGGTGGGACCTCAGTGGCAAAATTTTAGAAGGAATTGAAAGTGCCGCCAAAAAATATGAAAGGACTTCCTAGCTATGGAATATCAAACGTGAACACTTTATTTAAAATTATTTTTATTCCTTTCGCGTCGTGCACTCTTGATCGACAATATTGATACGTCGATTGAATTATCGATCTTTTGTCGAAGACTTCGCCAGATTTTCGAAAAGATAATCAAGCCAATTTGCATTGCTCAAGCATTCTTTTTCAAATATTGGTAATGAACTTGAATATTAAGTGAGACCATTTTTTAACAAATTGGCTAGAATTTATCTTGAGTTTTGGTATTCAAAGGGAATTTGATCGAAAATGTTTTTAATCGAATTTAGATATTTTTTTATGATGATCAGGCAACTAATCGTTTTTGAAGTATTATTTGCCTTTTCACCAATTACGCCATACACTGTATAAGTAAAAAAAATTCCTTATAGGATTAATCGAATTAAGCGAATTTACTTGAAACTGTTTGTATATAACGATGTATAATAACGTCTTGAGTGAAATTGAGTGAAATTTCAATTTCCATTTCAACTGTATTTGTACAAATTAATATCATGCTACTTATTAGTGTGCAAATTAGATATATCATAAATGAAAAAGAAACTATTGTAAAATACCATAATTTGACATTCTCTCAATAATAATGAATAAGAAATATCATAAACCGATTACGTCACTAATATTGATTTCGTTACCCATATAAATTCTGCGAATATATCATGTATAACACTGCTTACAGTAATATCAAAATAATTATTAAAAATACAATCCAATTTATTAAATGAGTCTACGCTCTTTTCAAAATTTTAAATTTACCGCCTTCTCAACTTTCTCAAGTATAAAAATCGAATGCAATTTAAAAAAATAGAACATTAAAAATAAATGGTCAGTAATAAAGTATTTCTGAAGTAAATCCACTGCAATGTACTAATTGCGTAGTGCATCATTACGAGCTGACCAGTAAATGGACGAGTTTAGGTAAATTTTATCTATATACAGTAATTTTAACACGGGCGTCCATTCACTGAAGCCGTTTCTTAAGGCGTTCACCTACTGGTAGACTTGGCCTATCTAAAAACAGTTAGTCTAAAAAAAATGAATACATTTCTAAAAATCGATAGTGCCCGGTATTTTCAGGGTAAACTGATCAAGTGTGTTTGTTTCTAACTGAACTCGCATCACTGACAGAACCTCACCTGATTATCACTACCGATTAGAGTATTGTAGTTTCAACGGGACTTGGCTACAAACTGCTAATCGAATGGTCTAATATGAGACAGTCATAAGTAGCAAGTAGCGAAAAGTATGTAGCAGCAAGTAGATAGCTACCGGTTAAAGGCTACCTGACTACTGTTACGATATAGCTGAAGTCCTGTTATAACATATTTTCATTACGCGATAATCTTTTCAACAAACTTACCTAATACTGTAATGGGCAATGTCACACATTCTTATAATCTTCACATGTCCAGTTGATTGAAATTGACAACATTTATTTCCACGAACATTTGAAAATTAATGATCTATACGAATACGAAAGTAATAGTAAAATTATATTAAAATTATTTATAACAAAAATTCAAGATTTCATCTCTCCTAAAGGTAAGCTCTTATATCGAGGAAACCTTTAGCAAGTATTAATGGATCTGCACATTGTTAACGCCTGATTCAATTAATCATCAATGTCGTAGTCGATGTATTCGAACAGTTGTTGAATTCTTAAAAACTGAATGTGTCGCAGAAAATGAGGAATAGAAAGGAACTTTTACATTAAATTATAACAGAAACATTTTAGTCGAAAATGTAAAGTGTTAAGTGTAGATCCATTAATATTTGTTTCAGATAAAAAAAAATGCGGCCGACGATAAAACGAACTTGAATACACGTGTGTGAGTTCGTCTCGATGCCTCTAATGTCTTGACTAAAAGTCAACTTAAAATCCTCTAAAATGGCTCGATCGATGAATTAATGAATATCAGCATCATTTTGCCCCCTCGAAATTGAAAACTTTCGTATGAAAAAAAATTTGTCCAGCTTTAATTATTTCATAAATATCCGTCCGTGTTAATGAAATTAGGACACCCTGTATAAAGAATAGAGTGACAAACGGATCAATTCAATGACCGCATACGGTACTGAGATGATCAAAAATGGTTTATCTGTTCTAGGTAATGCTTAATAAATAGAAGCCCACTTTGTTATCATTGATTACAATTAACAAAAGTAGTTGCTAATATAAAATTTTATTAAGGGCAATCCGAGATAGAACAGGCTGAAAGGAAATGCAATATCTAGTTCAACACGAGGTTTCAATTTTATCGGTCAATGCTTTAAAAATTCCAATGATCTCTTTTGAAGAACCATCTCAAAACTGAAAGCTATTTAGGTTGACCAAAGTCTGAAATGATTCCTAACTCTTTTTCCGTCTAATGATGTTTGACTTTTTAGTTCCGTTCTTTACGGCAATTGGGTCGTCATAAAGCACGTGTTACAAACATTGGAAATGTAATGTCCAGCATCCGTATCGTCCAGACCAATAAAACTTGTATCACGCTGTATATGTTTTAATACCTTACATCATACAAATTACTAGCATAATATTTTTTAAACTCTTCATTGCACTCATAATAAATATATTTTATTTTCTCAAAAGCACAAATACAAAATATGTTGTAATGAAATATTATAAATATAATTCTGAATTATATTGTATTATACTGTTACTAATGAATACTGTGATTTAATGGGTATATAACAAAACATTATTAGTCGACTTAGTTTTGTATACGATTGTACAATTTTTTAATGAACCAAATAAGAAAATTGCTTAGAAAAGTTACATCGACTAAATATCTTCAGGGCATAATACTCGTTCGTAGAGATCGGTAACAATTAGTACATGGACGTCAAATGAGTGTTTATTTAACGTTTCTTGTGATACAGTTACAGTCATCTGAGGAAGGCGAACTGGAACTTAACACTGAGCTGTCGAATCGTCCAGTTATTCATAAGATTTAGTCAGGAAAGGTTCCACATTATGAATTCGTGGAGTCTGTATTAAATACAGTATAAAAAATAGGCCGAATAATGTGTAATTGGAAAAATTAATCGAATAAATTTATCCTATTATTTTCTTGAGAAAAAATTTTTTTAATACCATCAAGTGTACTACGAGATCGTCATCTGGTATCAATTTCTATTTTAATAACTTCAACAGGCAAAAGAAAAATGTATAAATAGCATAGAATCTTTTTAAGTGAAATTTTAATGCACGAGTGTTGATTGGGTCGAATAATATAAAAAAGAGATTTTTGTGTACTTAAAAAATTGTTATTCAGTAATACGTGTGACGTTTTCACACATTACATTTGACTATACAGGTTTGTATTCAATATAATATGAATTTGCGATTTTCGAATCTGAACGTCCAATACTGTTTATCGTATCAATACACGATAGGGAAAATAAAATAATTTTTGAATCTACTAACGTAACATGTTTTATTGACTGTAGTCAATAAATGGTAATTCCATTTGAATCTTTTATATTTTTTCTATCATTATACTCAGCATAAAGCCATTAGAGGTCAGTTCCTGTTAAAAGCAAATAGTCATTCAAATGCCAAGGTACCACAGTGCCATGATTATAATTAGCGGCAAAATTTGATGACATCGAATTAATAAATGATCATCTCTTGAGATAGTCATGACGTATGCTACTTTTGTGTCTGGGACCTTGCATCGTTCAAACGTATAACTTTGAATGATTTGAGGCATTGAATAGTTTGAGTTACGATTTTTAAAACCGGAAGACATGATATCCTCCTTACGCCGATTCGTCATTTTACCTTCGTCCTCTCTCTTGACATAACTTCCGGAATTTAATCATGCACATAAATAATACATACTCTCAATGTAATAATGATGCGTGCGTCTAATTATAAATATTTCTAAAAAAGTTTCAACATTTTCGAGCGATAATATTTTTTTTTTATAACTCACTGTGATTTATATCTACACTGTGATTATTATCATTGATAATAATAATATGACGTCATTAGTATCAAGAAAGCATAGCTTCGGTAATGCAATGATAATTTCTTAAAATATCATTTTTACTTACCTTGATGAATTTTCGTGAACTAAATTAATTATCATGATGATTGAACAATCAACGAGAGATATTATTATTATTGACATTAGAAACATTGTTATATGTATTTATTGTTTGTCATATTTTCAGAAAAAAAAAATGGAAACACGGTTTTTTTGTCTTACGATCCTATTATCGATATCAGTTCAATCGTTATCGGCAGTAGAGTCGGAAACATCCGAAATAGAATCGATTACCGGCACGAGGGAACCGGAAGATCTGACGACGACGCCAAGCCCCATTTTAGTTACAACCGTACAATCCTTCCGGTATGTGAGTTAGAATAAAAATTGCTTTTTAAATTTTTTTTTTCCAAATTTCTTACGCTATGATGAAATCGGTTACACAAAGGATGGCCGAATTTAATATTTTGTATTAAAAATTTTTGAAATATTATACGCTCTATAATAATAAATTTATGTTACTTCGATAAAAAATTATTCTTATTCACGTCATTAGACAATCACGATGGTATCGTTATGGCTACCATGGACGACAGGATGACGTAATGAAACCGAATGGCTATCACGACGATCACGAAGTTGACGACGATCACGATGACCACGTCGATGTTCACGACGATCATCACGATGAAGACATGAAAGCATTAGCAGCAACAAACGATGACTACTGGGGTGGCTATTATGATTTCCTAATCAATGAAGGAAGTTACAAATTCTGGGCCGTATTTCAAGTAAGTCATCATCACGTCATTATCCATTCATGAGTTCGATATTTAATCCTCTGTAGGTCTAAAATCAAGATCCCAATGACATAGCCTAATCCGAATAGACCACGTGGGTCAAAAGTGCATTGTAATAGGCAAACGAGTCATCGGACAAAACTTTGTGTCATTTTATACATGGAGGGTTAAATAGTTTTTTCTCCCATAATCAAGTCAAGGATAAAAATTCTTTGGGGTTTTTATAAAACTTCAAATGATATCACGCCGACGGCATAACGAATTTTTAAATAACGATAATGCTTCACAACAGCTTGCCACCGCGGCGCTACTCATCTACAGTGGTTTTGCGGCACTTTATTACGCAAAGGTCAATCCACCAACCGACGACTACGAGGATTACCTACTGCGAAGACGCAGATCTATAAATCGGCCGTCACTGGAAAGGACGTTCCTGGGGCTCCGACCTGAGACATTTCAATTGATAGTCGACGCCATTGCTAAGGAATTTCATTGACGATGTACTTCGAATAAATGTCAATCGGGGATTGACATATTCTGATACCTCAATCTGCGGCTTAGGTGATAACGCAATACAGCAAGAGTGACGTTTCCTCGTCGCCATTTGAACTCGCGTAAAATTCAATACGTAGACCTTGTACGATATATTAAGTATATATGCGTCTACTGGACTTCTACGTGAGTTTGAATAATTGATAGTAGAATTTATTGCGTTATATGCCTAGTTGAAATTTCAGTATAAATATCCAGAGTCCGTCATGGTCCTAGATACAGTTGTACTGGTTCAGTAGGTAGCTAGGTAGGTCTTGGACTTATGAAACATAATTTTTCCTAGGGTAGGTACCTGTATTGACTGATCAGCTTGTTACGTGTTTAATCGATCAACAATATCGATTGAAATCATGTCAGAGGCATTGGAGTATATAGATAGTCAATTTATCAAATTTTATTCCGATTAGTTACAAAGTCTTGTATTCGCGTTTACTTGTAAAATACGATTCGAGATTTTGATCTTTGGAAAGTAGGGCTGACCCTTTCAATAATATCATCTATACGTTCGTACGTGATATTCTTCGTATGATTAGGTTTTCATGTTTAACATAAAATTGTAATATATCGAACACACGCATTGTTCGGAGTATATGTATTCATTAATAAAAATATACATCTGTCAGTTTGATACTGACTTTAGTTTTCGTATCGGTTCTCAACGGACTGGTTTAGTTCCAAAAAATTCCGTCGGATCGAACTGTAACGAAATTAACGTACAAAGTAAAATTCAAAATCAAAAATTCGATCGTCGCTGTCAAATTATATTATTTTTTTGTAAAGCTTTATAATTCTACAGAAAATGATCAAGTTGATAATTTTTGTTTCCACTTTAACTCCTCGTCATTATAAACGAATGACACATGCGTTAATGGCGTAAAGTGATATTGGTAATTATGTCTAAAAAATGAGACCAACTTTTCAAATAAATTTATTGGCAATAATAATAATAATAATAATGAACTAACCCTTCCGGCTTTACCAGTCTGGTTGCCATAGCAGTGGGAGTAATATTCGTGGGAACGAAACGTCTTGCCGAAGCGATTTCACAAAAATTTTGCATATTCCTTCCACTTCGCAGCTGATCCACGTTAAAGCAAAGGGCCAAGAGAAAAAAAAAAGAAACACAAGCGGCCGCTAAATATTCAACGTATTAAAACGGCCAATAAGAATCGCACAAAAAATGTCGACCGATAAATCAAGATGGGAGGAGGGATTGGTCCAGAGAGATTGGTGGAACGAGAAGGGGGTGCTAGTCTCCACAGCGTCGAACCCTTTGCAGCCTCAGAGGCAAATTTTCTTGTCGAACGGCAATGTAACGAGAAGGCCCCCAAGCATTGTAGGAATAATACAATGGCGTAGCCGCAGCAATCGCGATTGGCATACACTTTAGGTAGTTTATTGTTTCATGGTTTCTTGACGCCATTGCAAAAATCAACCGCGGGCGTCCTGACATTCCCCCACGTTCGCGACGGCGTTTACGATGTCCAGTGGGGAGCCAACGGCGTCTCAAGGGATGACGGCGCTCCTCAGTGATTTTGCAAAATTTCCGATAAATCTAAAGTACGGGTCTGATAAGTATCCATAGGCGTCCTGGACGTCCGAACGTCGACCGTCCCTTAATTGGTTGCAAAGATTTGAATAAAGAAAATATATGATTTAAAAACTACTGCAGGGTTATTGAAGAATTAATGGAATAAATGAAAATAAATATAAATCACCTGTTTAAGATGACGCTTATAGATCATTATAGATCTTCGTATAGGTGCTAAGGATCTACTTAAAGTATATGACGTAAATTATATAGTATCTATATGCGATTTGGTTTCTGAAATTTATTGATCGTCCTGCCACCCCCTTCACCCTCCCAGCCACTCGTTCTCTTCCTACGGGCGATCAATATCTTCTTCTAAGAAGTTCATCAAAAAACCGGTTCACATTGCTCGCGAACAATACCTTGCGTTGCGTGTATGAGCAAAGCTGCCCCAAGGTCACCTACACATTTATACATACGTGCGTGAGAACGCATTGTTCTGATTTTACGATGGAATTCGAACTTCCGGTTACTTCCGATAAATTCCACGAAATACACTGCAGGGTATCTCCTTTCTTATCCGTGAATATATACTTTGCCGTGTTTTAAGAAATTTAAAATATTACACTGCGTTAGAGAAGCTGTCAAAAATAAAGCAAACAAAGCATTTTCGTATGGTCCACGTGGTCGTGCATGAAATATAATCAATCAAATCTCCAGGTTAATTACACATTTAAAATCTTTGTTCGCACCATACGCCACAAAATGTCCTTATAAATAACGAAATTAACGTCACTGCTTGATTATATAATATATTTATGTCTAAAATTATAATGTTTTCACGAATTAAGGGTTATAAATAATTAAATAGAATGTATTGTACAGAATCCGTTATTCCGTTCACGCCAAAGGATTATTCAAAAATTCATATTTTTAGTGGTCGATCGCAACGCCATCTGTGTTCTCGCGCGTCATTCAATAACGCCTACCTGTCTAGCGATAAATGTCGAGAAAAGAAGAGAAACGACGACAAGGAACGAAGCATTCGTAATGCCCGCAATTACCGCTACGTAATTTGAATATATATAGGCGAGGGCGCCACCATCGGCTCGCACAAGATATAACATGCACTTATGTGTCTATGAAGGGTTAGTACGTGCATACAATTCTTCGCTGTGCTTTGTTTTCTACGTGTAGTACGAAAAAGCTAACGCGTTGATACACGAACTCCGAGACCCTTTTTCGGACAAAGGAGTCACGACTAACTTAAATAACTGCAAGATGGCGACGCGGCACGATTATCTGACGGAAAAACGTTAGAATGTCGCTCACTGGATTCCGGTGCGCATGCCGGACGTACCTCTGCGAGTCGGACCGTTTATTGTTGTTAGAAATGGCACGCACTGTATCGTACACAAAACTTACTACACTGTATTCCAATGCACAGAAATACACAGGATAAACGATATCTAAGATAGAAATATAAGAAATAGACACATAAACAATCCATATACAATGCATTTACGGTATAATAAATGTAATTTACAACAAAATGACGGAATAAGAAACTCGAGTACGACTAATATTATTATGAAATAAAATATGTGTATTCCATTGCAATTTCAGATATTTTAATTAATACGAATCTACTTTTTTTAAATTTACAGTCAGGTCTGCGTCTAGGTGGGCGCGCATTTTTTGAATTAATTATGACCATCAGATCAGCTCGGATTTGAATTCTTTCCGTGAACGACATCGTTCCGACGGTTACCATAACAGCCGAGATTGGCCGAAGTCAGCACGAAGTCGTATAGTTAATCTATCTGCGCCGATTCTCGACTATGCTAATTTTAATGGGAGGCAAATACCGTAATCCGATGAATAATTGTTTTAATCGCCGTACGATCGTGTCTTTTGTACATATATACATATATCCCACGAATCCACGTGTGCGAGCTGCGCGCGCTGCACTGTGGGAAACTTAAACCTGTGAATCGAGTCTCGTTCCGTCGTAGATCTCAAGACTGGCTGGCTGCTTTGTTTAAATTGTCATGGTATATACTTGGCTTTGTCTGGGATGCATATGCATATATATATATATATATATATACATATACAGCACACTACGCATGCCTATGCACAAGTAAACTAGTAATACGCTGACATATTATGCGCGACGGCGTTGGCATCGTACGTGCCTTTACCAGAACGTGTTTCTATTAGCACTTGCCGGCTGTGCAATTACGTTACATACAATGCGCGTAAAAATTATTACTGTATAATATTAACTGTGTCACGCGAAGACAGAAATATCACGGCAAAAGTGAAAAATTCATCGTTTAACATAAAAAAAAAATTACAACGAAAAAAAAATTTTTTTTTTTCTAAAAATTCGCTCGAACATACATACAATAAATTTACCTAGTTAAAAAAAAATTTAATACATCTAGGTCATCCGGAAAATCTAGTCCGTTAAAATGAAATGACACCAGACACCAGGAGTCATAAGGTGGCAATGAATGTCCAGTTTCGTCGAATAAACCGACGCGTATAAAAATAGTTAATTGCCATAAGAGACTGAATGCCGCGTCCCCATATCTATTCGTCAGATCCATGACACACTTAATTAACATATATCCTATGCCGCGACTCGAAACCGTTTGAAATAGTCAAACGACACAGTGTCGAGCTGCGTACTAAGAAAAAATTTATAGTACCTGTTCATCGTACAGGATTCGTTGGCTTATTTTTTATTTCCATTACTTTGAGATAATCATTGCCAAGTGAACCAACTATTAAACTGGAACGCATGCGAGGTTGGTGGAGGTTGGTGGAGCGATTTGTGTGTGCGCTGTCGTCCGCGGTCAATGGCTGCGCGCTTTTACTGCCATGAGGAAGAGGAGAGAGGATCGAGGAGAGTAGGAGTGAGAAAGAGAGAGAGAGAGAGAGAGAGTGAGAGGGAGATGAAGGGAGAGACGGAAACACAAGAGGGAAAGAGACATTGGAAAAATAGCTCAAGAGACACGGTACACTCGGATCAGTAAGGCACGTGAGTCTTGTGCATGCGTTCAAGTCGGTGAGAACATCGCGTGTATTACTTGTGCAGGTTCTAAGGAATTCAAGTCTCCGAAATATTACTTATTTATAGGAGGTTATAACATGGCTTGATGTAACTAAGTATCGTAGCACTTAAATGTTGTAGCGCTATAGTTCGTAAGCATAGTACTCTTATGTAGAGTTATATATATATGTATAGAATATAAAAATATGAAATAACCTATCGTTGAAAGTAATATAAAGAATTTATGAAAAAATTTGATGGAAATGGAATAATGATGGTCAGTCTGTTATGAGTGTAAATAAAAAAAATTCATACTTATACATAAATT